CCTTGCTTCGTTGAGAATGGAGTTCTAATCGAATTACGACAACGATTCCTGCGCAGTTTCAAAGACGTGTCAAGCGAAATCTCTAACATAAATTTAGAGCAGAAAGGGTTGCGTGGCATTTGGCAGAGAAGAAGCTAAGCTCTACTACTCGACTGCTTGTTAAGAAGGAGCGAGTTATTGGTGCCGTCAGTGTTCAAACATCCAGTTTTGACTTGGCTTCCATACATCCGACCTCTACGGGAAGGGTCTGTGGACCTCAGGGATATTTGTTGCCGCAGGCACCGCCGAGCTGAAATCTTTCTACCAGCTCCAAAGTGGCAAATTGTCCTTGATTAGCGTCACACAAAATAGAAGTGGGCCCAAAAATAGACGAGAGAAAATATCCTGTTTTCGATCTTTAGTTATTGCATACGTACGCCATTCATTGTTTTGGGTTTCCGATAGTAAACTAGGATACATAGGGTAATCGGTCTAAAATCCGGTTTTTTTCCTTATCAGTTGTCTTTGAGGCTCTATATAAGCAAAAAATGGAAATGTTGGAGATTTTTGTATATAAAACATTGTCTTCCCTAGTAATCGTGTTTATAATAAGTTCCATCCACTTTGATTCTATTCTCAAATTGGGACCTAGACTAATCACTAGTCATTTTCAGAAAAAATACTTATTTCCCGGATCCGGAAATTAGGTTTTGTTAGTATTCATGCGTTAAGCGGTACTGGTTAGTGTAGATGTGCTAGAATGTTATTCAAGTATGGAACAAAAAAAAAAGTAGAATGAAATGGGGCCGATGGCAGGCCGTCAATCCCACACTAAAAAAGCAAGGGTGCAAACAAATGAAAAATGTGTGAAAGAAGTAGTCGTTTGGAGCTGATTAAAAATTACCACTAAGTATTATAGTTTCTAGGACAGTGGTTAATTTCTAAGTAAAAAATTCAGGATTGTGAAAATTATACTATTTTTAATTATTGCAATAAATTTTCGAGTTTTTAGTTGTATTATTATAAATGAGTTTGTGATTAAAAGGCTCTGTGCTCACAAGCTTTGTCTGTTGATACGATTGACTGTTGATGTTGGGATAAAGTGCCGAAAATAAAGCAGTACAGAAAGGGTATATTATTAGTATGTATCTAGTCTCTATATCGTTAAACTTTTAAATAAGTGTGATCGAATATATAAGTATGGCCGCCAAAGTTTGAATATGGCAAACATTTGATTGACGTATAGTACTACAGTAGAAAAGAACGATTGCTTATATAAAGTTGTTCATGTCACCGCCGCAAAAAGACAACCATAGGAAAATGGGGAATATATGCAGGTATTTCAATATATGCAGAGGCGACACGCTCCCTTCAAATCCTCGTCTTCTATTTCCTTTGCTGTATCGGAACTCCAATTGGATCCATTAGTTGTTGTCGAAGCGACCGAAGAGGCAAGAGGGTCACCAGCCACACGAATACACACGGAATACGGCAGATGTTGCCCATCTGAAAAGGGCAAAGTAGACCTGTGCATCGCTTTCCTCGAAGGAAGAAGGGCAGTTGAAAACTCGCTCCAAAAATGGAAGTCAACCACAGGAAGGACAAAAAAAAATGTAGGAAGGCCCCCTTGAATCTATAGTCTTGAATCTATATAGTGGAAAAACGAGGACGGTACAGATATTAGCGGAAATGAGTGATTTATTCTTCTTTGGATTTATTTAGATAGTGTATATACTCTTTTGTTGATTGTTTATGGCTGACCTCTGTCATCGTTTGTCAGGCTAATGGAAAGCAAGTGCTCTGTTGGAAAAATGTTTATTATTGCTCCTTGTACCGATGTAAAGTGATACCCATATTTAACTATAAACGGTAGATGGAATGGATTTGAAAGTGGAAAATGTAAAAGCGTTCGCAGTTCTACGACTAGTAAGGTAACGAAAATTTGATTTTAGAAGGGCACCGTAAGTGAATGTAGCGAGCCTACACTCCAACTAGACTAAAATGGTGCATATCTTTTAAGCATTTGCTCTTTCAAGTTCATATTATTATATCCTTCTAACATTGTACATGTCTTGCCGAGCCCTTTACCATACGTAGCAATGCCGACACCACACGATGAAAGGCCTTACCTCTCTGTCTCCATTGCTTTACTGAACGATGGTAATGCTTATGGTTGACCAACAGCAATTTTCTGTAAACATGTTCCAAGATTCGCGCTCTTTTTAGTCGCGACCAGCAGCAGCAGCAACAGCAGACTAGGATCGGCCATAGCAACAGCAGCAGCAGAGGCATCTCTTCTGTTCGGGTACAATAATAGTAAAAGGCCGAGTGGAACTAGGAAATGATGTGTCAAAATGGAAACCCAGTGAACGGCCAATGCAGAGAGGCAACTGGGAGTAAAACAGGCTTGCGCTGCACCTAGGGGCCTCTGTGCTAGAAAAGCGGAGCCAGTAGGAGAGTGACTGAAAAGGAGAACCTAAAAAGATACAAAAACGAGGAGATATATATATATATATATATATAGAGAGAGAGAGAGAGAAAGGGGGAGTAAGGATAGCAAAGAGACACGATGTTTTTCCACTTTGTGTCGCGCAGTACGTAGCAGCGTCCTGTGGGCCAAAGACGTCCACAATTCCAGTACATATCCGCCTAGAACGTATGCTCGTACACCGTACAGTACGGGAAGTCGATGTTCAGGGAGTTCACTGCTAGATGCGCATCGTTACGTATTGCGGGAACTAAAAGTGTCATAACGCTGAAAGCAGACCGTTTCCCCTCCATTTCCATTCGAGTCGAAAGCATTTGCGTTTTTTCCTTGTCGCGCTACTACTATTGTTACAAAGAAAGGAAAGTGGAACTGGCTTTCTTCATAAACTAATGGTGTTCGCTGGCGATGCAAGCGCATCTCTTATATTTTCTGTGCGACGACCCGCTCTTGCCCTAGAGAGCAGTGACGTAGCAAAGCGGAGATATGATATTGCAGTCAAACCGATCGCTGATAGATTGCCCAATTAGATGCATGCCAGCAACGCTGGGATGTAAAAAGCTGATTAGACGGCCATAGTGAGGAATAGTATCAGATCGGTCCACTGATTGGCGGACACGCCAGATCAAGTGGGCGTGACCATACCAATTCTGTTATTGTACACACCGTTTTTACCTTGTTTGCTTCATTCCTCAATAGACAATCTGCCGATTGCTCACTAGCTCGATCGTATTATGTGTACGAGTGATAATGCCTGAACGGCAGGTTAATGAAGCGATAATCGTTGCAAGCATCGAAATTCATTTCTGAAACTGCCCAGCCTCGATACAGCATAAAAAAAAAGACAAAGAGCGTCCTAGAATATAAACAAGTATAAATCGATAGTGCCTGCCATTTGCTGGGTAATATGTTTGTTGCCTATTATTGGCTGTGGCTTTTTTCTGTGAGGATATAGTGAACAAGTTATTTACGAAAGGGCTAATTTCAATCTGAGCTCTCTGTTACACAAGGTTTTCTCAACTATGTAGGTATGCACTTTGTTTAACTTTCTGACGAAATGTTACAGAGAAGTTGTCGTCTTCTGAGACTTCTCCTTTTTATTTTACTTAGTAGCCTGTTTACCTTCTCGGGAGTATAATGGATGCGTAAGTATAAGTTGAAAACGAACTGGTTCTTACCGATTTCCATTTTGGCTGGAAGCATATGTTAGCTAGGTTTGTCTTGTACACTTATATTGAAAAAAGCTTAATTTTAAGCAGCGTCAGAAATATGATTGAGTACATTTATTCATTCTAATACGATCAATATAATAAGATCAGTTAACGAACAAACAAAAGATCCTTTAAATAAGTTAGAAGTTATGAAATTATTTTTGTCATGGGTACAGCTCTTATATTATATAGGATACGATAGGTTTTTCTATGGTCAAAAATCGAACTAAACGGGTGGAAGTTTTTTTTTTAACAAAAACAAGCATTTAGGACAAATTGTTTACTACCTAGTTCTTACTTTTTATTTCTCGCCTTGAAGTAAATCATTAACGTAAATGTGTTTTTATAAAAATTCACCAATTCGAGGTACTATTGTTCGGTCAATCAGGAACCCTATTTCTGGCCGCTTCAGCACACTAGTCCAGTGTACGCAAGCATCTGAACACTGGGAACTCACAAGCAATTGACGTTTTATTCAGCGAGGAACAAAGTTACAATTAGCGTTCCTGCTCGTTACGTCGAAACCAGCGTTTCATCCTTCGGTGGGCCGCAATTTCAGAGGGAGATCGGTCCAAGAAATTTGGGCGGCTTGCATTTCAACTTCGTCACGAAGTACCATTGGGCACACTAACTCGTCCAAGACATTGGAAAAATCATGGCTCAAAAAGGGGCGCCTGTCCTAAGGTCCGAACAGCCACCTTTTCTAAACGTGACTGAGTACCACTGTAGTCTAGGACCTTGTGTATTTCAACTGACGAAGTATATATGAAAATATATAACAAACATTTGCACCGATGTTATTGGTATAATTGTTCAATGAAAGCCACTATAATTTGTTGAAAGTCGGTGAACTATTATTAATTATTATTATTATTCAAGATGGTTACTCATCAAATTGTCTCAATACTTCTTAAGATTCCAACAATTGTAACTTAAATTAAGGTCTAGATTAAGACAGTATAGAAGAAACTCATAGTCGTATGGCATTTGTCGCCCTACGCCGTCATATAGCTGGGCTCACTATGTAATAGCTGACAGTTGCAATTGTTTTAAATTCAGGATGTATTCACAAGAAACTTAATACATGTCTTTATCAAATATACCGGAAATGTATTAGAAAAAATGGTAATTTAGCATTTCCCTTTATTCGATGCCCATCTATTTTCATCAAAAAATGTTCATCTATACACCACTGATTGTATCTAATTATGTAAACATAATGGATGCTTCAGACAATGACATTTTCCAAGCAAGTTTGGTCATTACTACAAAGCCCAAAGGCTGTTCGAGTTACTCCTTGACTTTTCGGTCTGTTCTTTTTTTAGCTTCAAATCCTCTACAAATCACGTCGGTATGTTCGCGCCGTCTGGGCGCCGAACAGTCTTATGGCTATTTGATGTCGCCCGGTTTCCCGCAATTCTACGTGGCGCCACACCACAGCCAGAAATGCAACTGGACCATTCAGGGCAGATTAGGACAGACTGTAACTGTCAATGTACTCGACGTCCGGCTACGGCCAACGCTGAAACGAGGCTTCAGCGGGGTAACTAGCACCCACATGAATACGGCGCAGTCATTAAACAATGCGGTCAGCGGTACCAATCCTAGTGAGGTAGGTTTAATTAGTTACACATTACCATATTCAATAGGATTACTTTCTACTGCTAAGACTTACAGGTGTCCTATTTTTGCGTTGTTCATTCACAACGGTTAAAGATTACATGCCAACTCAACTCAATAATTAAACCTTAGAAGCTACGCCTTAGAGACACGCGGTCGTCTAGATCTAGGCACAGACACACTTTGTTTTCCATCGAGTGAAATGCCCAACGGCGATGCCGGACGTAAAACCCGAAATATCGAAACGCTACACCTAGCTGAACTTTTTTTTTCGTTTACACAGCTTTTTAGCTCCCAATAAGAAAGTTACGATAGTAAACTTGAATCGCCTGGTCAAGTCACTATGGAAGCCGGGACGGAATGAAGAATTGTGCCTTAAATGAATGCGATCTCAAGACGTATGATATTAAATGATAACTGTCGGTTTGTGTATGTAGTTTAATGACGTTTCCGTTTCTATGAAGTCACAATTATATTAAATGCGACCCTCTTTTTTGCCCGTATTTCTATATCCTGCCACCGAGGGCGCTGGCTGTACCAGCATCAAGTCTTCCTTTTGCTCTCACAGTCATACATCACAACGTTGTCTCTTTTGCGTGCAAGCCCGTTGTTGACTCAATGCCTTCTCAGCGCTGGCCCCATACACTGGTTCGACGGTCTTGCCGGGTCTCTCCCCTAAGCGTCTCAGTATTGGCGCCATAGCTGTGTTGTGTTCTGTGCTACGACAGACGACAAAAGATTTCTGCGTATTTCCGGCTGACTGTTTAGTTCGAGAAATAAGAACCAGCTACTTTTTACCACCAGGTTACGAAGCGATCTTCTTTCCTGCCATTTTTTTCCATTAAGGTCGCAATCTCTCTCACCGCTGGCGGTGTGTTCCCGACAGAACCTTTTTTCTACTATTTAGCTCTAGTTACGTGCGAAAGTGTGCGCGGAAAGTGCCAGTGCATACGAAAATTGTAGCCGGTGACACCCTGCTTCTGGTACGAAGCAATCAGCAATTTGAATATGCGCGCGTGTAGTCCATTTAGATGCAGTTGAGTATTTCTGCTAAGTGTGATGATAGTGGCAGGCGCGAAGTGGAGTTTGAACGTTAAATAATTTGTCGTTTCAACTTTCAGCGTAAGCTCCTCACCGTTGATATGGTTACATTAACGATTGCGTGATTCATCAATTTTTACCAGTGATTGCAGTCAGCGGAAGTACTTTCTCTCTATTTCTATCATACGTTACAGCGCTCATGTATACTGTGGATAGGTCTTGAAAAACCCGAAGTAACATTATGTTTACAATAGGGTCTTATATAGGTCAGATTGAGCCGTATAGAGCAATTTGACTAATAAAAGGGTCGACTGATAAATGATTACATAAAAATACATAGATGGTTTATAAAATGCAGTCTATTGACGGTTATCAGCAAGAAACTCGTCACTGTAGACACATAGTAATATGAAAAATAGTTATAATAATATTTATGTTGGAGCCGCATAGTTAATTTGTCTGAATCAGGCAGCTGATATATATGCTTAGAGCAATGTTTAATGGTAGAATTAGATGTAAGACTTTATTGAGACTGCTAATTCATACGATTCGTAGAAAATAGAAATATAGTCAGGTGTTGTTTGAATATCATTTGGAAAACGTTTTTTTTTTTGTTGTAACTAGTAAAAGCAAATTTTGTAATATTAGTCATAAACATTTATAGACATCAGCGAAAAGGCCATGCATATATTGTTAAGGCCTCTTACAAAATGCATGTTTCTTTAAAAAAAAACTCAACAGTATTATCCCTGTATATATTTTCTAGTATTTATGGATCACGATCGTCAGATTCAACTTTACTGCCAAGCAGATTCGTAACGCATGCGACTGACCTCGTAAAATGTATTTCTCCGTTTAAATTCTTGAGACGTTTCGTGATGCGCGGTACCATGCGTTAGTCGCAACGGCTCATGGGTTCGTGAACCCAAAATGCCGTCGAGACGCTCACAGTCAACCGGCTGTCGACCGTGGTTAGCTCCCTGCGGCTGCGCTTTTAAAGAACAATGTGCCGTTCTCCTGAATCAGTGTATAGAGACACTTCAACACTGCTTTTTATGCAGAAAGCAATGATCCTTGTTGATATTTATTGCTGGAAAGGCGAGATTTTAATTAGCCGTTCTACCAATGACATACATTAGATGCAAGGTGTGAAGAAGCTTATGTCGATATTAGATCTTGCTAGAGAGCAACAAAGGACACTGATTAGCCGATTCGACCGGTATGGTAACGAAAACCAAGTAGGAGAACGAAAAAAATGCCTACCTCCAATGAAATACCCCATAATTCGGTAAAATACAGAAAGCTTCAAAATTGAACTATACCAGGCTGAAAAATCGGAATAAACCAACCGTTATATATGAGCCACTTTGAGGAACACAGACTTTAGTAACAATGAACAGTAGCAAAATGTTCAGTGAGACGTAGGCCTTTAGTCGAGGAGCATGTAGTTGATCGACCGATTTATCTTTTAGCGTTTCAAGTGACATCCTCATTCCAGCAAGAATCCAATTAATCCTTTAAAAAATCACTTGAGCTCTCGGTACACGAATGTTGTTTACGAAAAGACGCTATCTGTATTTAAGTTTTAGGTCTATAATAATAATTTCAATTGATCTTAAGGTAGTGACAGTTGGCTTGCTCACAATTAAGTGTTATAGATACTCTGGACAAAGGTTGAAATTTTTTCATTGACGATCCAGCTGGTTTTTTCATTGTTCGTAGTTCGATGGTAACCGCTGTTTGAGTAATGACCTAGCTGACATAACAGTCTAAATATATTCCCGGTATGGATGAAATTAACTAAACGGACAGCCAATTAAGTAGTTGTCTTATTCATGTACTTTTAAAGTCGTCTGCATTCGGTTTTCCTATGCCATTATTTTCGCGTTGTAATTAATGATAAACTCTTTGGATAAAACTTGTTCAAAGTTACATTTAAAGTGCAGTACTTATTTCCGTAATCATACCTATGTACTATTTTATATGCGCAAATATCGAATTTTATAATAGCTTGCAACATACACCATCACTTCTTGGTATAGTACGAGTGGATGATAAACAAAAATCCTCTTCAGCGAACTATCAAGACGAATATCGGGATACATGCGCAGAAGCGATAAATAATTGCTACATGGGTAGCGGTTTTTATTCAATTATTCCGTTTCTTTGAATCCATTGATCACGTTAATGGATTGTTGTCCGCAGTACTTAGTCTTGAGCTATGTACGAATACAGATTTGTTATAACTAGGCTAGCAACTTAGCTGGCTTCTATGTTGCATCGACCTCATAAGAGAACGTAGTCTGCGACAATATATCAGGACGTGCGATTCTCTCGCCATATGAATTTGTTTTGGATCCCTTCAATCCTTCTGCTTTAAGTGTAGAAAAATGTGGAAGTCGATTGTAAACCAGCAGTTGTGTTGCTTTTTTCATGATCATTTACCTTATATCCTATTTAGGAATGCGGTGACCTACTTCGCTTGACGTCGGCTGATCACGGAGGGTCCCTTCTCGCTGATATATGCGTTGAGCGTCAGCGCTACTTTCTCAATACGTTCTCTAGCGCAAACGCTGTCTCTGTACAGTTCATCTCGTCAGGCTTCGCTCCTCATCGGGGCTTTATTCTAGAGTACAAAAGTAAGTGACAACCAAGGAAGAGCATCATAGTAGAAGATCGTAGAGGAAACTAGAACACCGTTTTATAGTGGTGGAGCTTGTCGCGCCTCGAAGTAGTTAGGATAGAGGAAAAGAAATACCTGAAAAGTGATCGTTTTGGCCCGATGGTGTTAGTTGATTGTATTTATCCGTTTCTTGTAAACACCGAGTGAATGTCGGCAGAGCTTTCGCCCGTATTGCATTGTACAAGGATTCGCTAACTCGTGTGTAACTTTTGTTTCTGGGTCTCGTTGCCTGTTTGGCCTGTCCAGTTTCGGGCTGTCCCACACTTCCGGCTCCCCGGGACGGATTTCTAGAGTCGCGGAATACAACCGCAGCTACATATCGCTGCCGGAGGGACTTTTTCTTTGCGGACACAATAACTCGACATAAGACCTTACTCTGTCTCAACGGGACTCGTTGGACGAACGGACCACTCGGCGAATGCCTCTGTAAGTACTCTGAATAATGCTGATTGTCAACAATAACATTAGTGACCACTTCAAATCGGAAGTAACTTATTAAATAGCTTGTAATAAATTAGTTAATAAAGGACAGCATTTGCTGCTGCCATAAGCAATTAATGCTTATGCTTGTTATATATATATATATATATAAAATAATAATTGTAAGATCTGATAATACGAATAGGATACAGTACGTTTACTCGCCGTTTACTACCTCCCGCCGATTATATTGTGTGTGTTGTCCTATTACAGCGACGTATCAGTTAGCATATAACGGTCACCTTCTTCTGGGGTCGGGTTACCCTATCGGAGGCAAGGTGCGGGATTCTCCAATAGATACCAGCGTTTCGAACGTCATTGACGACGCATCCTCATCATCTGAAGATCTTCCACTAGCTATCACTGCACAGCAAGCGAATCGTGCCGGTCTAGGTTTTACAAGGCGACCGATAACGTGGTCTTCTTCGTTGAGTTCCCTATCCCGCACCATGTCGGAGTACGCGGACGTCATTATTCCCTCAATTATTGTCTGCCTGCTGTTATTAGGCAACGCCATCATTGTCTTTTACATCTACAGACTGAAAAGGTTTGAGAGAGTATTTCACCAGTTTCACATAATAAATGTTCAATTTAGCATAGGATCATCATAGCTTCCTCGTCGTTTTCAACCAAACGTTATACCTCATACATGGAAATCCAATACCCAGTAATTGAGTAATTTCTGTGATGCACATATAAACCAATACGTATTAATTACGTATCTTTTCCACATTATAGGCAGAACAAGCAGCGTGTGTGCGCTCGTAGTCCAATTGAGTTGCCGTTAGAAGACAGGGACGAACAGAAGGTCGCTCCTTTAGCCACCATCTAGACTCCCGCGTTATCTTTAGGACCCAGGACCCATCAAGGTGCGCAGGAAGTCTTCTACTAAGTTCACTTAATCAGCTTCCAACGAAAGCGTTATTATGGAAGTGCGACCTCTGTAATCTGCAGACGCCGAAACAAAGATCAGCCATCATTTAATGTTACGTCTACGTCGACAGAAACCACTTGCAAAATACATTGGTCGTTGTTTTGACTGCTGGAAACGGATCTGACTAATTTTCATTGAATTATGGCCCCCGCTCTTCCGATAATAAATAAAAGGAGCTCTCAAGAAGGAGTAGCTGAAGCGAGGTTGATACCGTCGTAGACCAGAGAACATCTTGCCGTATAATTCAAAATGCCACATCATCCAGTTAACTACTATTGTTATTATCATTATTAATGCCATTTTTAATGTTAAGCGCTGTATGTAGTGATCATCAGTCATCTCATTGTTGTCACTGCGGTCACTGTGGTCAGCTTCCCAGTGGTCGTATCACATTCAACGAACGTGATCCTCTTGACAGCTTCACATCGATAGAAAATAGTACGGCTCACGACGGTAGAAGCATTCCGGTAAAAGTGAAAATAAGTGGTATTGGTCGTATTTATTAATACTAGTTTTTTGTTTTTGTCTTAGGTTTTAGAGATGAAAAAGCACAGAGCAGGGTGGATAATTACAAGAGGCAGAGCGCGTGAAATCGAGCGGAGACCGAATTGGTTTCATAAGTCTAAGTAATGTGAGTGAATATGTATTTGAAACAGCGATGTGGCAAGTAGAACTGATAGGGCGGTAGTAGTTGTAATCCATAGCCGACCAACTTCGCCGACGATTCAGTTGTCCGAAGAGTGTTTTTTCCCCCCGATTATGCCATATCGCTAGCGATATATTGTACGCTCTTTCTTTATCATAGAAGGAGCAAAGCCACATATCAGTCACTCTAAAACCCCGGATGCTGTTGGTTAATCAGTATTCAGAGCATGAAAAAGTCGGATGTCGGCTTGCCGAGACGCACACACGTACGTACAGAATATACGAACTCTTTTTAGTTTGTTCTACTACCCAGCCTAATAGTAGTAGTGACCTCAGGTTACTTTGATTACGTAAGTGGCTGAAAAACACATGTATCTCAGAAGTTGCAGAGCACATAGAAATAACATCAATCAAAAGTCACGTTAGCTTTTTCGCATCGGTCGGGTGCCCGTCATATGATCAGTCCGTACAAAATAGTTTTCATTTTTCTCCCATGTCCTTAAACAACCTGATCGAAAAAAAAAGCATAACAGGCGAGCGCTCAAGCAACAACTTTCCCACATGTTTTTCCTACATATTTCTATGTAATTATTGTGCAAAGTCGACAGCATCCGGGATCAATGGAAGAAGTGACGGCAAAAGCAGCCTACATTAACATTGTAAAATAATAAAAGAGTTTTCTGCATCCTTCGTGTAGGCTATGCGCCGTCTAACGTAGTGTCTGAGTACAGCATATTCTGAACAATAAAATAGTACACTACAGATAGAAAATTATAGATATCTGTTTGTGTACCGTGCGATTAGTTCGCTCGTGTATAACAATTATAATAATGTACATTTACAGATAATTACCGAAACAAATAAACATGGCCGATAGTAAATGGAACTCTATAATATATATATATATATATATAAAACAAATATTATATACATATACTATTACCAAAATTATGATCGACGCTTGTTGAGAAGTTCCCCTTTCTCGCGGACGGCTATTTGGGGAGCCTCACATGCCGAGCAGACTGCCGCATACTAATCTAATGTATGATTATTTATTAAGATAATTGATTGGTAACTGGTCGACGACCAGTTCTCAGGTTCCTTCCCCATATCCTCGAATCTGCTATGCTACGTGTTTCGCTCTTATACTCGGTAGATTTTTTCCATTACGTACACATCATTTTTGCAACGCAATTATCTATACATACATCATAAGGTAATAACAACGTCTTCTGTTCATGTGTATTATGTCAAATATTAACTCAGTCCTACAAGCTTTGGTTATCACTTCACGGTGGAACTTGGCATGATTTGTCAAAGCTGGAAAAAGCTCGTTGGTAAAGAAGGCGCGCCAGAATATTAACCTTTCAGGTTTGTTGTTTGCACGACTCCATTATAAACGTGACGGCGGTTATGACACGGCGACACAATATATGTTGTTTCTTCCCCTTCCCAGATTAGCTAAAAAGGAAATACTCGATAGCAGAATGCCAAGGTGAACAGTTGGAAATGTCGATATCAACAACGAGAACAACAACAACAGAGTAACAAAATACTACAACAATAGCAGCAAACACAAAAGCAACCTGTACATAATGTTATGTTATTGGACGTGAGTCACACTGAATAGAAATTAGAGATGGCGGGAGGGAGGTGGGCGGGTGTAGGGACCCGTCTACAAAAAATGACGGGTGAAAAAGTCAAAAAAGAAGGAAAGAGAGGAGAGAAACAGTGTAATGAGGATATCAAAAGAGAGGGTAAGATGTTTACATTGAAACTGAAAAACACGAAAGAGAAACGATCATGGAAAAGTCAATAGCAGACTGAGAAAAAAAAGACAGTAAAAGATGACGACTATTAAAATAAACGAATCGAAAAATGCGGATACCTCGTGTTTATTTTGAGAGGGCTTTAGAAAATTGTTAGAGGTTGAGCAGTCTTTCGACCGGTACTGCAAAGATCCATTTATGTACGTCGATTTAGTATTTATTTAAAAAATTATGTACGTAATAATACATGATTTCCGTTAGCCGATTGCGGGTTACGCAGTGGACCAATGTCACGATGGGTGTATTTTGAAAGCGGCGTGATTACGTATACATAGATTCTTTTTAATTTGGCACTCCATGATATTTGTTATACTAACTGATCTTACATCAGCGGCCAGCCGATGGGTTTGCGTCGACACAATTATTTCGACTTCATGCGAATATGTCACGGATACGAAATATAGGCTCAACATCTATAGAACTGTGTAATAAATTATCACATTGTTTCTGCTCTGTCCTTCTCCAGTAGTACCATATAGATAACCAGTCGAGATTTTTTGCTATTGCCACGTACATATTAATATATCGTTTACCCGCAGTCGCAGCATTGTGGTTTTTAGGCACTCGTTGGTTAACGGCCGAAGAATCCGTGGGCAGAGACAGCAACAAACTTTTGCATTACTATGAATAAAAGCCCTAACCCATAATCATCTCTTTACTGGACTGATATGATTTAGAGTGGCTTTATTGAAAATTCATTTGACGATCTGTTTTCTGGTGTCTTCATCCGCTCAACTGTACGCTAGCCTACAAGCGCTTTATGAGCGCTTACTGTAGTAGCTAATCATCGAGCTAAGATGATTACTGCAAATACGATGCGCCAACGAATATGATTCGCTTTACGCTTTATGTAGTGTTACAGAGAAAGAAAGCTTGATTTAGTCGAATCAATAAAGACTATTTGAATCAATTAAAAATGACAGACTTGATAGTGCATGATGAGTAGATGGAAAACTCGACACAGTGGCTAATGTAGGGGTTCTTAGAAAAAAAAAAAACAACGAAAATAACAAATGATCAGAGAGGTTTCTCGTGTTGTTGTTGTTCAAGTTCGTACCATCTCATTAACCACTTTTGTTCATGCTATAACGGACCAGCTTAATTGCGATCCGACCCACCGTAACAGAGTATAGTTATTTTGAGGGTTAAAATAATTCCGGGCCAACATAGGTCAGATATTCTTGACCCGGTGTAGATTGTCTTGCAACATTATCGCTTCTTAAGCAACATTTTTGGTCAAGGAGCAGTGCTTTACTTTGGACTATTGTGCTCAATATCTTATTTGTAATTCGCGTATACTCGGATACAGACATTATAGGATTCGAATCAAATAAGCTATATACTTATATTTTTTATTTCAATATTTCAAAGAAATTGTATTAGGAAATTAGAAACCGGTGAGGCAGAAATTACGTGTGTACAGCCGAATAATGCGGTCTAGCAGACCGCAAGTAGACCTTAAATCGTTTATGGTAAAATTACTATACCGACGATTTTATAACTACAAACGTGCCACAAGATCTAAATAATATGATCTTCACAATGTCCATTATGTTAAGACAAGTCCTTTATGTAGCAGATATAAGACATGCGTTTTTTGTGCGTGTTCACCAAAATAAAGACGCCTCTAAGTCTTTAAAATATGCTTTTCTAATCTTCGACGTGGCTTATCTCACCCATTCATGTAAGCTAACTCTTTTAATAATATAATAATCTTTTAATTAAAAAAACTGCATTCAAAACACTACATCGGTATATATCAAAACTTATTGACTGCACAATAAAGGAACGTGATCATCAATTTCAACAGTTAAATTTATTTTTCCTTGTGAGCCGAGTTTCCAATATGACACGACTTGGCTGGCACTACAGGTTAATTCGAGTCATCAGAGAACTACTAAGGAACAGCAGGCATACCATGTTCTTACATACAGATTTATCTATAGACATTATGTACCCTAAAAAGACCTATTCTATGTTCTTTCAGCGAAGCAAGATGTGTACATATTAAAAGGCATGAGGTAAAGCAATTACATGTACAGGCATGTACATCTGCAATCCATACTCATACTATATATACTATAGTACGACAGACGCAAATGGTGTATTCCTGTTGCCTTGTGGACTGGATCCTTAAGCTGATATTGCTTTATTAAGTGGCTATTAATTTTCTGACTACTATTTACCCTGATCCTTCGTTTTACTTAAGAGTCCCCCCTACCGTCTATAAATATTTCTATTAATATAAAGCGTCGTTCATTGAATCGTTGACGTCAAATGCGCAACAAGCTTATGACACGTTCGGGCTAGGACTAACCAGTGTTTTCTTGATATCATCAAGCTTCTTCATGTCTTCCTTTATAACCTTTATCAAGTCAGTAATACCTGTAAGTAGATACAACAGACCAATGATTAGCTGCACTGCTGTATTTAAAATGGACAAAAAAAATTCGCACTGCGGCTACACACAGTTTGCAATTGCAGTTGTTTTTGATGCAACATTGAGGAGTGTACTGAAGAGTTATCCTCGTATGCATCTCCTAGCACACTGAAAGGTATGGTCCGAAATACAGATTCGATATGGAATACGGATATCGACTACGTACCGCGATGCTGTTGAGCCAAAAGTTGATTAACTTCTTCGCTGACAGGTTCAGCGGATCCCGTATGTGATTGCTGATCGCGCGGAACACTCTTTACACTAGCCTGTAGCTCGTTCAGCTTACCACGGTTTAGGTGGTCCATTTCATTCATAATGTCCTCAAGCGACGCCTAACATGAGCAGTTGCAAATTTATAATTTATGAAGATTTATGAATACTAGAGAAAATGCATAATTTAATCTATTATGCATGATTTAATAATTACTGCTATCCTGTCTATTTTATCCAGGTATATTACCGTAAATATAACTTTTACCTGACACATACAATTAAAGCTTAGTTTCTTCAATGTGCAATTAAATATTTGTTTAAGCAGACCTTTAGGGTCTCTTCGTCGGCCTGTATGCCCAGTCCAATTTTTCGATTAATCTCGAACGCGACCATGACAGTGAGAACCCGATGTGACAGGTTTTGCTGCTTACTGCGGAACTCGTCGACTCTTGCACGAGACTGTTCACATCGCTTTTCCAGCTCTTCTGCTTCGCGGGCCATTTTTTGCAAACGGTCCATTTGACCTGCCTGGAGCGCCTGCTGGCTGTCCATTCTGTTGAAATTAATTTCGAACGAATTAAAGTAAGATATTGTGGCTATATTTCACTGTGCCAAACAATAAGTTTCAACCTTTATTGCCGCTTCATTGCCGCTTTAAAAAATTGCAACACATCGCAAAAAAGTCGCCACGTTACCAACAGATCTACCAATAGTAATTAACCAAACAAATTAATCACACAGTTGTTCGTTAAGCTGACCCAGCGTTTGTGCTAGTGATCTCGCTAACGTATTCAGCGCATGTAGGGAAGGCAAACCTCATTAGCCTAGTAAACCAAAGTCGGACCCAGACCACTGCTGCGTATACGTGGCCGAAAAAAGTTCGAATGATCGGACAGTGCAAGTAGCCAACCGCCATTGTTCAAAACAGTATTCTACAGATGTCAGTCTACATAGATCTATTGCCAACCGGAAAGAGAAAAAAACCTCTAATTCAACATTCGCTATTTTCTCTGAATCAACAGTAGGGATCAATAATCAACAGATAATGGTTTGCTTCCGTCACGGTCCTTAATCTCTGTTATACACACAGTTCTGTCCTACTGGGTACCTCAGACACGCAGGGACACGAAATAAGCGCTGGATGGTCGTAGTTAGATTGACCTTAATGACGCACTTGGCAACAGCATACCCCGTTCTGCGGAACGCATTTCAAAGCCAACTAAAAACATGTATTTTGAGTGGCCGTGACATCGAACTATACTGGTTCCTAATTAATTTTGCACGCACTACGTAAGCGTTGACTAACTCCAATCTAAGAAACCAAAGAAAAATGACAGGTGGAAGTATCCGCCACACGAGGAACACATGATAAATCATCTATTATTTCGACTCTGACTAGACATTTTTTTGTGATTTTTCTCGTAAACACCGTAAAGGGGACATACTAGTACAAACACAGATGTAATTTGTTCACGCGACTAATCCATTACCCAGGCCGTGTAATTAAGTAGTAGTTTCAGTGGCAAGGCGACTCTCTTTACACTCTGTCAAACACTCCGCCACGGAACTCACCCTTGTAGTTTTTCCGATCACGCCGCCCACCCTCGTTTTTGACAGGTTTCTCAACTCGTTTTCGACGATTTGCTTTTCTCTCGGAGCCACCAGTTGATAAGACAGCGCGCTACTTCACTCAGTTAATTCACGCGGTACCTCGTTGTTACAATAGTGATAGTTTGGTAAAACCGAGGCTCAACATATTAGGTGCGCGCCAGAACAATATATGATTTGTTTCTAGTACTGTATCTAAACAAAAAGAGATATTCTGACAATTTTTTAATGCGCTAGAAGTATCATTCTTGACTGTCATGTCTAATTAGCTTCCGTTTACCTTGATTACAACTTCGATTGAGAGGCCTAAACCACTCACTAGTCGTTCTTAAAATATTTCTTCTCTAAACCGATCGAGAAACCGTGTGGCAAACAATACGTTTTAAAGCGTAGCTCAAATATGCTCTAGACCAAAAATTTAATGGAATTAAATATTGGATTAACAGCAGGCTAATGGTCTATAATATACATGCGTTGGAAAACCCAAAATGCACAAAAAAGTGTAGACTAATCTGGGGAGACCGGACTGGCAATAGATATGCTCCTTTTGAAAACATCTTTTCAAAAAACCTAATATAATTTTCTAAATTTTTTTCTTGGATTTTCTTTAAGCAATGGGGAAGTTGGCTGTAACGCAAATCCATATAGGTAGAGTACAAAGTTTCTGATCTCACTACGATTTTTTCACGCGCCAAGGCATCGTCAGTAGCTGACGTTCGCACATACTCTGAAGGCAGATCCCATATTTTCACCATGTATTCGTAATTTTGTTTTAAAAAGACCTGACTTTTTCAATATCAGCAAAACCGGATGAATGCACGCCTGCTGTGACGAATAGCCCAAGAAAATTACTTCGAATTTAGGCAGAACGGTATATAAGTATTACACTAACCTCCTTTTGAGATCCTCGAAGCCAATAATCGGGACGGGTACCATCCGTTTCGGATCGGGGTTGTCGCTTTTCGCCTGCTCCCATAGAAGCTGATCTATTCCGTTCGGTGGTATGGCTAGGTACTGATCTAGCAACGTCTAGACCACACGCAGTAGAAATAAAGACCGTAATAAAATACTGTTAATAGGAACAAAGCTGTAATAAAATATTCGCATCTAGATACTAATAACGACTTAAATGTTGAAATAACGAGCCAACATTTTTGTCAATATTACCCGGATCATAAAACTAAACATCTGCACATACAACATATGGTTTCCTTTCACACTCTTTCATACAAATTCGCTAATTAATACAAGACCACGATTCTATATGTACCTTGTTAAACTCTGTTTTTTCTGCCATGTTCACCACGCCCAGAGTGGTCAAGGCGTTCTTGCAATTTGGATTCTCCAGGTTCTTGAGCAAATCTGTTGATACCATCCTTTTTGCTTGCCCAGATGAAAACTTTTGTAGAACGTAGATGACAACGTTACACTGTGAGTTTCCGATATCAGTGACGGAATCTATGAACACTGAATATTCCGGCAATTTAATGACTTCCTTATGCAGTAGTTCACTAAACGATGGCTGTGTCATTTGTTTAATATCCTCAGCCTTTTTATTAACCATCAGCGAAACAAGACCTTCTTCAGGACGATTTGTTGGCAGTGCGTTGTAAGCGATTGCCTGGAAAGATCATTCCGGAGTAATACTTGATACAGACGTTAAATTTAAGCAATTCACTGTTAACCAACCAACCTAGCATATGAGTAGAGCGTGCTCAAGCGTGATAAGAACTTTCACTTCCGATGAGGTATGTACTACCTGATGCAGAACTTGGAAAGAGGAATCTCATACCAGCGGATAACTTGCTGGGTTTGTTTTTCTGACAATTACAAATTAACTCAATTTTTCTAACCGATGTATCTAACGTAATTTTGTTACTATGTTCTAAAGTAATCTGTCGCGAAAACGAAATGAATGTAACGTCGTAGTCGCAGTTATATCTGAGAACCTTGATCTGTGAAAATTAGTTGGGAACCCCCGTCCTCCGTATTCATGGGTAATATAATTTTCTAAGGTTTTAAGGTTTACAGATCAACGTAGTCAGATTTTTTTCGCATTCGTCACAGGTTACTCTGGAATGTCAAATAAAATACTCTAGACCTCAAAATTTACTCCTTCCATTTTGTTTCTTTGATTCGAATTTTTGATGATCTAATTCAAAACGATATATAATACGACGTTTGAGTGAATTTAAATAAAAACTGTACCTTGAATTTGCAAAACGGATTATTCGGTGTAAAGTCGATGGGGGGGCCAGATTGCGCGATAAACCCTTTTCCAACACCCCATTTAGACTGAATTGTATTGAACTTCGCCAATATCTGAAATGAACAAATAAATTAAGTACGTAGCCTTATTGAAGGCGACTGCAATAAAGAAAAACACGGGATTTATGTATTAATCAGGAAAAAAAAATCAAATAGAGGAAAATTTTTACCTTGTCGCGTTCATCATTGTAGATACCGGGGTTCGAAACTGCAAGGCAAATTTTCTGGGCTTCTGCTTGGGCCGCCATTTGGGCAGTTTGTTGGGGTGTGGGCAAAGGAACACCGGCATTAATACCGAAAGTATCTGCAAAAGAACTCCAATTGTAGCAATGAGAAACAGGTGATACCTTACACTTTAAAATTTACTTGTATTCGAAAAGGCTTCGATGGATAAGCAATACCGAAACGATACGAGTGACCAGTTGTAGCGTTTAATTTTGCTTGCAAGGGTAGAATAAATATAAATTCGATTCATTCACGTGAGTATACAGTACTTGGCAAAACGAAGGAGTTTCCAAAATTACCATCACGTTTTAAATTAAATTGGAGTTTAAATGATTCCTATCTTCGACAATTCTTTTTTCACTTTCATGTCTTAATCACTTAAGGTCAAAATGTTCTACTATATATCGATTATTCACACATTAAGGCCCCCAATATTATTCTATTTCAAGCAGTTTTAGCCAAACAGTCTTTTTCAACTTACTGAAATTGAAATGTACACATGCCAGTACACTTTTGATGAGGTTCTTAAGTTCGAAAGTAAAAGTAGATACTTCGTTTCGTGCTGAAAGCCAGCAGTGTGAAGTAGTGCTTGACGACCAGATATATAACTCGAAAAAATGCCGTTGCCTAAGACCCGTGTTTTAGGGAGAGCACACCAAGAGCCAATTCATGTATTAATCCGGAGCTATGTAGAGGTCGAAAATTTTTGACTAAATTTACTTTAAATTTTTGACTAATTTTGACTATGTGATATTAACAGATTGATAGATATCTATACCGTTAGCTATCTAATAATACAAGCTGTTGAATGCCATTAGAAGCATGAAAAGATGAGCTTAGAAGCAAAGACATCATTTGATTAATTTGCGCTCAGTGATCAAACTTCCTTCTCGAAAAAGAGCTTCGCGAATTCTATCGAAGATCATAGAATGTGTTCACAAGCAGTCCAATATGGGAATCCTTGAAGCACGCGTTATAAGATTGTAACAAACACAAACAAAGGTGAAGAAAAACATTGGTTGCATACACACTAAGCCCAGAGTAAGTTAAACACGTGACGTATTCTATACACAGCTTGGATAACTGTTACAAGAAAAGGAATTCCTGAGGCACACCGACTCAAGTTTGGTTAATCCATGTCGCTTGTGAGAGAAGGATCTGGCGAAGGGAAGAGCGTCGAGAGAGAGCAAGCGATTTCAGTGGCGCTTTCAAATCGATTTTGGGGTACATGGTTCTCACAATATATATCACGGGTATCCTTTATTAAAGAAACGATAAATGCTGCCATATATATCCGGAAGGGCCTCATTTCCGGCGTGACAATCGACAAAATACGGTGTAGTTACTCGGCGATAACGCACAACTTCATCTCCATGCTCTATAAAAAACAGAATCGACAGGTGGCTTTAGGCAAGCTCCCATATTTTTCAGATTTAGGTCCTATTATTTCGATTTGTTTCCATACCTTGAAAAAGACGCCAACTGAAGTACTGTATTTTGCCATCAGTTCTCGCAAACAGGTCGTCAATAATGAGAATATCAATTTACGGGTGCACAGCTTTTGTGAGACTTCTAAAGCATTGGCGTGTAGACACTCCAAAAAAGTATATTTAAACATGTACTAAAATAGTTAACTTTATAGGGTTTAAAGATTATTCTGATTTTCGACCCACTAGATAGCTCCGTCTAATACATTAAAAGAACATTCGCGTAAATATTCCACGATGATCGCGCTGATGTAAGACAAAATGACTTCAATTTTACAGTTATAAATCGATTACTTATTAATCGACATGTGACTCAGTGGAATTAACGCAAGGTCCGCTCATAGTTTTATTTAGCAGAATAGTAACTTTTTACTCGAACTAGTTCTGTAACCTGAAAGGGTTCTTAATAGCAATAAGTAACAACTGAAATATTTCGAATTAATTTTATACCTTAGATTAGACTACTATATTAGTGCTAGTAATGGGCGCAGCAATAGCGGCCAATGAACATGCTGAAAACCACCACTTTGCCCCTTCGCTTACCCATCCCCTATCAACTTTCGTATATAATCTAATGAAAATTAATGGAGATTTTTTGTTAATTAATGTTATTAAAGATAATGTATCTTTGTTTTGGATTTGTGTATGCGCGTATACATGTGGTACCCACTGCTTTGGGGAGTCTGTTGTAGACCGAAGCCACTTTGTCCAAATCCTGCTCCGTAGTTGCCACTCGGTGTTGTGACCTGGAACGCATTCGGGTTGGGTGCTGTGAATGAGAATCCACTGGTCTGATTTGTTGCCGTTCCGCTGGTATTGAAGCCAGCTATACCAGGTACAGCACCGCCGCTAAATGGAGTGGGATTTCCGCCACTGAAAAGAGACGGGGCGCCTGAATGGAAAAGGCAAATGAACGAGTTCGATTAGGGAATTCGATGGAAACAGATAAAGGAATAGAAACATCTGAAATCCACAACAGTGCACTATTCGGTTGACTGACACATCGTGAATTGCTAGTATCGAAAAGCACTGCTAGTATGATAATAAATATGCGATTGTTTTATGTGAAAAAATTCACCTTGACCAAACACGCCGAACCCACTGGAAGTCGTTGTGGCCGGTATCCCCGCCGCCATGCCGAAACCAGTTGTTCCTGGCGTTTGAGTTGGAGTACCAAACACATTCGATACATTGCCGAAGGGTGCAGCTGGCCGAGGCGCTCCGAATCCGGATTGGGTACTGCCGAACGCAGTGATGCCCGTTGAAGTCGCCGGAGTCGATGTACCGAAGCCGGTTCCAAATGTGGAGGTGTTACCAAAACCTGTGTGTAAGTTTTTTATTGAATGTAATTTCACCACGTAGTTTAAGTAATCTTTAAGAGCGTTATTTTAAAGAGCACTATTCTTTGATTTCCGTGAGTTCTACAAATTCAGCTATTCAACTGCTTTAAGATGTGATATATATATATATCACATCTTAAAGCAGTTGAATAGTTGAATTTCTATATATATATCACATCTTAAAGCAATTGAATAGCTGAATTTGTAGAACTCACGGAAATCAAATCATATATATATATATATGTGTGTGTGTATCTATTGTGAAATTGTAGTGAAAGGATATAAGAATAGGACGTTGTGTTTGGTAGACTGGATTTGTACAAATCGATATTATAGTCCAATGGGCTATTAGCAGCTTCCGCCACTCTAAACGCATACCATAGCCTCGTTTGAACCAATCAATTATCGCATGTGTCATCAACTGTTGGCATCGGCAATTATTTTACCCATGAGAACACATCAACTCAAGTGAATCGATGGCAACACATCCGTCTCTTTAGAGATTCAAGGTAAGTAAATACTATACATCACATCAAATGGGGAGAAGCTGGATACCTCGCGGCCGGTTTCCACGCGAAAACATTCTAGCCAGCTGCAAGGGGGAAGTTATGTCCCTTGCTGAAGAACGTGCTTCGTTATTTTTCTTTAAGGACACACAACCGAAATCGCTCAAAGAAAAAAAATTAGTGGTGTGTACTCCTATTGTGAGCAAACCAGTAACGGTGTACCGGATATAAAATTCAAACCAATTCTTATATATAGAAATATAAAACATTTCGGCAAAGCAGTGAATAGAGATTGTCTATATAGACTACACAAAAAAGTTTAAACATAGAAAGGATTAGTGAATATGTATTGTAAATAAAAACTGACAAATTTTTCTAACATTTCTTTGAATAATATTTTGGAATATTTTTGAATAATATTAACGTTTGTCATTCTGATATCTCTGCGTGCGATTATTATACAGTTTAGCTGAGTCATAACTGATCCTAGCTGAGGTTATTGTTTTTGTGAGGCCTATTCGACAACACTCGGTGCTCCTTTCAACAGAACGAAAAACGGAACAGGGTACTTTGAGTGAAAAAAGCCGTATCGATTATTGTGTTCTGGAACGCTGGTGAATGCAGGCCGAAATAAAGGGTATCAGTTGAAAATGGGTTTCATACGAAAAACGTTTTGCTTACAGTCACATATCTGTTTTATATACGAAATAATATATTCGTTTATTCTCTTCGTTCCACGATGACGATAAAAATGGAGCAGCATATTGTCACCACTTTGTCCTACTCATTTTCTAAAATTAGATAATAAAAGGTTCTAGCCGTCTTTAGACCGATGAATCGCCAAACATGTTTATCAAGGCTATGTTCCTATATGACTATTAGTCAATTTGGAACATTTATACTGTCAAATTTAGACGGGTTTATCTTTAGCCTATAAACGATGCGTGACTGAAACGTTCGCAGCCAGCACATCGTCATAGACTAATATACAGATTAAATGCGGCCTACCTTGCACTTAATTAGTTCTTGTTTTGATCATAGTAAATATCACAAATAGCGAACAAAAGCGTTAATACCTCCAGTGATCGACCCGAACATTTCGCTGGATCTCTTGAACTTTCGGGTCAGAATATTACTCTTCTAGCAAGGGGACGTATATACACAGGACATTGACAAAACACGCATCAGATAGATACAACGATATCACTATCTATATATAAGCTCTTATACAAGGGCACGTGTGACCAATTAGATCTCTTCTAATTTAACACAAATAGTGCTTTTACGCCAGTTAACTGATATGCGCCACATTCTATACTTCAAACGTGTAAACATTCGATACTGCCGCTGGTAAACTTCAACGTAGGCGCACAACTCAAACGACTCTTCGATTAGCCGTAATGTACTATTGCCAACATTAACCAAACATTCCAGCTAGTTCCGTCTTGCCTAGATAATTACACATGTCATCTGTGTATATAGGGGCTGTCGTTGATATAGCGAGTCAGCCATTCGTCTGATTAAATATTTCCTGTTAAGCGTCACAACAAATATGACTAATAACAGCTTCAAGCAAAAATCCATAGTAGTCTATAATTCTTTCTAGCATACAAAGAAGTTCGTCTGCTAGGGCATGTATGCAGTGTTTACTATAACTTAATCCGTAGGTTGATATATACAAAGCCTTAGCAGCCGCGCTCGTTCTATTTTTGGCAGAACTTCACGTATTGTGAACTATGTTTTCATTATGACATAAGATTGTGTGTTCGATGCTTAGGTGAATGTTATGTTTCTCCTAACCAATGTATGTACTCCGTCGACGAGTGTTCTGTAACTGCATTTTCAGCGCAGGTTGAGTACAGTAGGTGTGTAGACACTGATTAGTGCCCGTCTGTATTAATTTGAGGAAAAAAGACACATCGGGACATGGGTGTTGCCGATCGGTCAGACCTCAAGCGTGAAGACGTTCTTCAGGCCGTCATTCTAGCCGAGACATTCTGCACGGAATTTCAACCACTTACCGAGAGCGTGCCATTTGTAAGTGTTTATTTGGAAATTGAAAATTTTGCGGATGTATGAGAGAGTCCGCCCGGAACAACGCCGTACTGCTTGAACAATATAGTTCGATAGCGATAGCATGTAACTGATGCAATTATCCAGCTTGTCAGTATCGTATGGACGCCACTCGGGGGAGGTGTAAAATGTGGAGTTTTGCCGGTTACAGCAGGACATACTATATATATAATATTAATTATATATATGAATAAAGTTCTCTGTGTCATTTATATCCCCTATTGCACAAAAATACATCGAAATACTTTTAACAAAATTCTCTGTAGCAAACGCAATTCAAGCTACAATATTACGAGATAAGTTAAGCAAGCGCACCTATCAGGCTCGTTATAGGTAGTTCGATAACTCTTATCTGACTATAAGCAACTTTCAAACGCTTGTTGCTTCTGCCACTATATCTAGCTAAAGTTGACAGAGTGGCAAAAAGCTCGTTGTGCCTAACTAACTGCGAATGCACGTTCTAATCTAAAAGAAGCTCTGGATACTTTATAGCGTCATTTATAACTAGGATACTGACGACTTCATAGTAGGCACTCTTTACTACTTAGAATGAAATGCCGAAGAACTGTTGCAAACGTTTTCGGTTTATGTAGTTTCCAGCCTTTTTTTTTTATTTTTTACAATTTATATTTCTATAAATATTTATTACAATTTAGTACATTGTACTCACTTAATTATGGGAACTGTATTTTAAAAATGTAGAAATAATGTGGTTGATTATTTCCAAGTATTAATGTCATTGTTATTGTTGTTAATATTTGCTTTTATGGATGTTCGTTGAATGATGAAATGGGGCTTGCGTACTGACGAAAACCGTCTGGCTAGGTATAGTATACATGGCGACGACTGTAAGGGCGCGGAGAACTATTAATCGGTTTTTCCTACTTTCCATATAAGACCATCGATTTTTACCAAAGCACTAATATTTACTTGACACTATAAATCGATTTTGCTCACAATAGTACCTAGAACATAATACCAAATACTGGATAGCACTTCATGGCGAAGTCTGCCTATTAGTGCCATATTCATTAATATCTATGAGTATGTGGCCGGTGAACTGGACAAGAGAATAACGTAATTGATATAATGGAACGGTAGAGTTTAGCAATGGAGGTTGGTCACGCTCAGCTACTTAATTTCCGTTTAGCTTTGGCTGGCAAAGATTAACCGCACAGTACATTGATTTTATTAGCGCGAAGGGTATACGTATTGGGTCAGCTACCGCGATAGTATAAAGGCAGATAATTATTCATTTATATTTTTGTCTTGCTACAGGCTCTGCTGCCATTGCAAGGTCGGCCGCTTCTGGACTACAATTTAGAACTTCTGCATTCTAATGGATTCCAAGAAGTCCACATCTTCTGCCATGGACATAATGCTGAACGTATCAAAAATTATCTTAGGTATGGTCTATTTTTATTTAATTTTTTTGTAGATTTGAGTAGTTTGCGAGACGCCTAGAAATTTAATACAAATGTGGAGCGTATGGAAAAATCTGGGGAGCGTGTTTTTAACCGTAAGAAACTCACTACGATGTCGGTATGCTGCGAATCTCTTGCCATAAACTTAAATTGTAAATCATTACTTTTTCATTTTTATACATATATACAAGAAAATATGGCATTTTATTTGCGATTATTTCTGTCTAAAATGCAGCCTCGAGTTTTGGCCAAATTAGTTCTTTTGTGACAATTTAATCTTTGCTCGCTTTTTGTCCAGCGCATCAAAATGGAAATCGTTCGAGACGCAACGGTTCTCAGTGAAGGTGAATTCGGCCGATAACTATATGTCCTTTGGAGATATGATGCGTGACCTCGATGGCAAGGCTTACATCAGATCGGACTTCCTGTTGATGCAAACTGGCGTGGTGTCAAACATCGACATGCGACAACTTCTTAAGGTTAGTCATTATCGCCGTTATCAGTAGATTTATAAAATTCAATGTGTACGTGATATAAAATTTGGATAACAGGAAGTGTATATGAGGTATCTTTAGACTCTTTTATACCGTTATAAAAAACGAAGATGTTTCGTGTTTGCTGTCAAGTCAATAAGTAAGGTATTTTTTGTTGCGATAGGCACATCGGCAGAACCAAACGGCTTCGAACGCGAAAAGTTTAATGACGGTCGCTGTACGTCGATTGAACCCAAGGCATCGTACTCGTTCAAGAAACGAGCATTTTGTAGTATTCCTTGATGCTAACAACAAAATTCTCTATGCACACTTTAATCAGAAAAAGACGAAGTACATTGACGCGCCTTTAGAAGTAAGTTTTATAGAATGTAAGATTTTCTAGATTTTGTTTTTTATACAGCAAACCCAACAAGTTCAAATTACTACATACTTGTAGTTTTGTTGTAGAAACGAACTTGTCTGTCGTGCAGATTGCCGATTTTGAGATAGGTTCTAAACAAACTATAATTAGGTTCTAAACAAACTATAATTACCCGACTGCCGTATAAGGTTAGGCGAAACCAGTCACCTTGCGACTGTCGGCATTTAAGGAAAATATGTTCAGCAATGGAGACTCTTAGTTATTGGTTTCCAGTACACATTCACAGCGTAAAAAACGAACAAAGGCTGTTAATAATAATAACTGATTTGCAGTGGATATTATTCCACTCGGTTGTAGTTACAGCAACATGATGCGAGTAGATCTATATGAGATAACGTTGTCAGTTCGCAGTGAAGCAAAAGAGCTTTTCGTAGCCTGTCACTGATACAGAATATATACTTTTCCTAGTTTACTAACAGTAGTTACACTAACCTTTGCGCGAATTCATTTCTGCTCGTCACTTCGGTCCAGTACCATGCATTGCACTGTAACACGAATCGTAAATATTCTATCGCCAAAGCTTTTATTTCACGAATTATAAGTTAATTGTATAATTATTACGGCTGAGAATGACTCGATCAAATAGAAACCAAGTGCTGCTTCATCACGAAACTTTTTAGCTCAGTAGTAATTCTCAGTAATTACAGCATATGGCACTTGTCTAAGTCTAATTTTCTAAACACACGGATTAGAAACTATGTCGTCAAACATCTCTGTGTTACTAGGTTGCACCGTTCTGCTCTAACAAACCATACGCTTGTGTTTAACGTTTGGTATCGAATACGTGCATTGGCATTTTGTCTGCATCACAACATACTGACACGTCTTCATTATGCATCCTACAAAGACTTTACTCACTACAATAGTGAACGTGCTTTTAGTTCGGCCACGTTTCTTTTTTTCTTTCATGGAGACAAATTATTTGCATGGCACATTTTTTTATGACTACCTTTTTATAACGAGCTTTTGTTCTTTATTTTTTACCCTTATATATATATATATATATAATTTAGAACGTTAATTGCATTCAGCAATACGGCAATGCGAATAAATCCTCGTGATCCTTTTTCTATAAACAGCTCGTACAAGTTCACGTCTTGGTAGACGGATAGAATGCCATAGCACAGCGCACAAGCTTGGAGGATCGACGGGAACAATATTTGCTAGATATACCTTCAATGAGAGAGAATATACGAGACCATACTACATCCAACAGTCTGCGAAAATTTAGTGTGCTGTATTGTTTATTGCTGCTTTTCCTCCGTGTGTGGGTCCATAGTAGTTTCACTTATATTTTATGGGCCTTCTAGTTTTCAAGTATTTCTTAAGATTGCTATTACATATATATCTTTTCTCTGTATGAACATATAGTTATTCTTTTTGAGGTTAGCCCTAGTGGTAGTGATCTGTATGTATAGTAAATTCTACTCTTCTTGAGTAGGTATTGATTTCTGGGGGGTCGGTATCGGTACGCGCCGACCTTGCACAGACAGAGGTTGTCTTCTGTAATCAACATGTCCCTGCCATTTTCTCTGATAACTTCGACTATCAGGACACTAATGACTTCGTTAAGGGTAAGGTTTCGAAAAGATTGTTTTAATAATCATTTATAAATCATTGTTTTCTTCTAAAATACCTTGTGGCTGTTGTAATTTTGCTTGCGCTTATATCATTGGTTATTTTTAAAACAACCGCTATCATTAGCGTAGATTCGTAGCGTAGAAGGCGAATATCTTTAAGTGCATATTAACAATGTTAGCCATGCTTGTTATTGCAACAATAGGTATTATCGAACACGAAGAAATCATGGGCAACTCGATCCACCTCTACGAAGTGCACGACGCATACTGTTCGTGCGTTACGAATGTTTCAATGTATTTAAGGATCGCCATTGATATAGCGAAAAGATGGGTAAGTAGCTCTATTTCTAAGAACAACAATTTGATGTTGTCCTTTGGATATAATAAGCTTGCCTGGTGCTAACTCAGCTCCTTTTCGAATATGAATTAAAAAATCACCGTAGCAATACGTTGAACAATTATGAAATTATATTGCAACCTATTGCGATGTTTTATTATTTAAACTCTAATGAGCGATCTTGATCCAGAACGCATCTAAAAAGTATTAGACCATGCTCTAAAAAATGCCCGAATTCCGGTAAATGGTCCGAATAAAGATCCGGAATAATAATACTATTTATTATTTATTATAAATTATGAAAACATGTTAAGCAGGTCTGATTCTCAACTTATTCTTTTACGATAAGGCTATGTAACATTACTTCACCTATTTGTTAGGGTAGGGGCTCGACAAGATTTTTTAAGAGGTACTGAGCAGAAATGGAAATTACGATATTACCTTCTTTATTCCTTGCGTTTTCTCCAGAAGGTTTTTAGTGTGCTTACAACAAATTTCTGTTTTAGACAATCTCACATTCACATGTTGTATAAAAGGTTGCTTTTATCTTATCAGGGTGATCGGCTTAACTTACTATTCATTTGCAGACACATCCATACACGGTGGACATGCACATTCACGACTGCCATTTGCAACGGGGTGGTTATTATATTGCTAAGAAGGGTCGAATCGCGCCATCAGCCGTCGTTAGCCAGTTCTCAGTGGTGTTAGGTTCGATTTCCGAAGGAGCACAAATCACGCGATCGTATGTCGGTGAAGGTAGTTCAGTAGCTGCGTCAGCTCGCCTAAACGAGGTTACTCTAGGCAAAAACGTCATTGTTGAAGAAAACTGCGTTCTCAGTCATTGTCTTGTCGGAGACGACTGCATCGTCCACAAAGGTATGTGTTCCTTGCCTGTTGAGAACAGTGTGCAGTATATTGATGTCCCTTACATGTACTTTGTACACTCAAATGTCTTTTCTAATTAGCAATTAAAAAACGTTTATTGAACCAGTTCCCAGAAAATAATGATGTTCTGTTGCGCTTTACCGATAATATAAGTGCTAAGTATGCCCAGTTTAGGCAAACTTATGCCTTAGAAGTAATGCATTAGGACTAAAGTTTAAATTATTATGATTTTTGAAGGTTGAATGAATATATACTCTCGTATTTCTCGTGTGTGCTAATAAACGTTTTTTTCGTTATCATTGAAATTACCTGATTGACACTTAGATACATAGTGTGACGCTTGATCTTTTCCACACAATTGTAGATACGATACTTGTGCGCAGCATCCTAGCTCCTCGTGTACAGGTAGGTCCCTCAGTGAAGCTAGAGGACCAGCAACTGCAGAGCGTCCCCTTTGATGACGGATTTGGAGATAAGACTGACGCAGGTAACGATAATGTTAGTGTGGATACCACATGCGATAAAGCGAAGTTTGGCGCAAAGGCTGTTGCTTTCGAATTTGAAGAAGGAGATGACGACAGCGATAATGAAGATGAGCCGAATGACCTTTTGTACGAGAAATGGGGAATTCAAGACGATGGGATGTTCAGCGACGGGTTTGTGTCAGAGGAGGAGGACGATGGCGAGTCTGAGACCAACAGTGTTGGAGACGGCGACGAAATTGATGGAGGTGAGACTTCCGTTGAATAGATATATATATACATATACATATATATATATATATATATATATATATATATATAAGCGGACTCTTATATACATAAGTGTGGTAGCATAATCGTAAAAAGACGCAGAGTTAACGTTGTGGTTTTATTATAGCAGTACATTTATTTTCCAACATTTAGCCGCCTAAGAGCAGTCCGTTGGGCTTTTTCAGTTTCGAAGTGAATGGAAACTCTTACAGATTGAGTTAATTTGGGAGTATGTTTCTCCTGCTAAGTCAGTGAAGTTGCTAACGCTTACTCTTTGTAATAATCTCTACGTATTTCAGGCGTAGATCCTGTTGAAGGCATCGAATACTCAAATCTATTTTTTAAAGAGGTTATGGAAAGTCTTCAAAGAGGCATCGAAGAAAACATTAAACCAGAGAATTTAATCCTCGAAATAAACTCTTCAAAGCACGCGTACAATGTCACCATATCGGAGGTCATCGAAACTACCACGCGTGCTTTGCTATCAGTTTGTTTGGGACAAGAGGTTTGTAATTATTCGCAAGTTTTACAGTCGGCTATAAGTTTTTTATTCGTATACGACTTGCGTGATATGTGTTACACTATTATTCAAATCTATAATGATTTATGATCCAAGTAGAGGGTAATCCAAAGATTGTTGTTTTAAGTAGCCATGTTTATATTTCCTATAACAAATGCCGAAAATGAAACTAAATATGTATTAAATTTATTATGGTATTGTGACGTTGGCCATTTATTTTTAGAAAACCGGCAAAGCCTTTATGACTACGTTCAAAAAGTCTACAAGCCAGGTCACTGGCATCCTCCGCAACTATCTGAAAAAAGATGACTCGCAACGTATTTGTATCGATGAAATCGGTCGTTTCTACGTTCGTTTACGACCATCCTGTGATGAGAGTCTACAAAAAACGTCACAGAATATCATTAACTTTCTTTACCAGACAGATATCCTTTGCGAGAACACGATTTTAGATTGGTATGACGACCTATCCGACGAGGTGATAAAAAAGCATGTGAAGTCATTTATCGAATGGCTTCAGGAGGACAGTAGCGACGAAGATGACAGCGATGAGACTGAGTAATGAATAACTGAGAAGCACATAAAACAAGGTGAGAAAAAATCTGGAAGGTGCTGTCCTTTTACTTTACGAATATTGTCTGAGGTCTGTGTGAAAAGGCTGCGTGTAACATGTCTATATATAAATTTATATATGGAATGAAAAAAATAATACATACAGTAACTAAGAACGATGAGATTGATTATTGTTGCTGAATGGAAACTGTGTTTTGTCTTAGAAGGTTTATATGCATAATGAATATGATAGGTGGCTTGTTGCTTATACTGTTAATATTGTTGTCGAGACTGGAGTCCGCTCTACATTCGAGTTTTACATCCGTTACTTAAGTTGGTTAGGCAGTGCTTCGAACAGTTGGCTCCCAGAACGAAACGCGATTTCTTCATGCGAATTCGAACCTAGAGCGCCATATGTTCCTTAGTTTAGGTAAACACGTTATTACGTTGCCAAAATAAGTTGAAGTCAGTGAATACAGTCATAAATTTTAATTGGAGTCATTTGAGAACCGCTAGATTTCAGTTCAAGATATTAATGTAGGCCTTATACATGGACTTCTAGGTTGCCTTCAAACATTCTATGTTAACATCGTAATCCTAAGAAGCCACATTTTGTTAAGAACATTTAAATTGCCCAGGGAATACATATTTAATTGTCAATTCTGTATCTCTGCATGAATCTGTTCGTTGAGTTTTTATTGTTAGAAGAATTCTCACTCTTCGATGTAGTATTAGCTCTATTTTTAAGGCCCCACAAATATATTGGGAAAAATCAATTTGTTGTGAATGAGCATAGTTGGCTGCCTATTATTGTAAGTGAGGTTGCGTTTGCCAATAAATATTTCTGCCGATTAAAGTTGTTTGAATCTTAATATTAAATAAACACCTAATTTTTTTTTATTAAGATTTTATTAAGAATAAGATAAGAATAGGATATTATTATTATTTAAAAGTTATTTCGCAGCGTACTTCTGAATAGAAATTTTTCAAACAGATGAGTTATTGAATTTAGCTAAATTTAAGAACTATGATACTTTCTTACATTAGAAGTCTCGGAAGTATCTGGAAGCACGAGACTATCTTGTGCTTGCTCAGCTTATATGCTAATCAGATACTGTCCTATCATTCCGTTTGTGGAAAAAGTATGGAAGCTAACCTATAGTAAAATGATAAGTCAGGTGACTTCGACAACGTAAAACTTCAACGGTTATTTTTTACAGCTTACGGTAAATATATTTTTTTAGTAGAACAACATCGTTTTATAGCAAACTTGACAATAGCATAATTATCACGGGCATAATCTGTGAGTGAGCTATTAATTCCATAACGTAAGCTCATTGCATGTAACAAGTATTACTGTTGCTTAAAGAAATTTCATAAAAATGCGGCAGTTTTAACTACCGATTACCTCGTATTCAAATTCGCCTTAACTTAAAAGATCTTTAAATTTTTCGGCCGAAGTTCTTCAGGCAAAAGCATATATTTCAGGCGTTTCTCGCTCGGCTTTCCATGATCCTAGCATAGATAGTAGCTTAGTATTGAAAGGATAATTAAACCAACCCATTTAAGCCGCTGATGTTCAACAAGATTAGTCAATAGCCTGCCTGATAAATACCATCGTGTACCGTACGTGGTATGAACCCGTATTGAATACATATAGAAAAAGGAATGCGTTAGCTCATTGCAAAAATAAGTGTACACACAAATTAAAACCCGCGAATCCATGAAACACGTCCATTAGGAACATGTCTATGGCGGGGCGTTCATTTTCCATCACCGAAGTGTTACTTACAATGGCTTACGTATCTTTACTGTGCAAAGATATCTTTACAACGTAGACGCTAAAATTTGGCTTTTATATTTTCTTATCTCTGTAAGAAGTTGCTTTCAGAATCGTTAGTATTTTAAGTATAAATCAATTTTTTCTCGCAACTCTTAAGTCTGTAGACAGCTTTCGATATTCATATATTGTGTATAGAGGCACTCACGGCGTATGGGTTATACTTCTGTTGACATTGTAAATAGGTGCCCATTACAAAATGGCCGGCACAGTTCTTCTATCCCAGCATTAATGTTATATTTCACAATTTTGAATTTAAATGTGCATTTCAAATGCACATATTTTTTCTATCGCTAAGAATAACATCTAAGCCTTTTTTTTTTTAATCTATTTGTAGTCTACTTGACAGTGTAGTGGACCATGTGTCAATTATTATTATGATGTATCTTATGCAACAGGGTAAGAATAACAGAATTTCTAGTATTTTACCAAAAATTAGTGCAGGAATCTAGATGCAATCTAAATAAAAATCTTTTTTTTTTTACCTCTGACTTTGGGACGATGCCATAGCTTCGGGCTTTGAGGCATTAAAGTTTAGTCTGTTGGTCCTTCGCCAGCGGTTTTTTTCGTACTTTGCTGTGTACTTAGGTCCATACTGGTTTGTGAATATCCAATCGAGCGTTGCCTTTGACTCAAGACCTATAATTGTAGCAAATGCAAGCAATTATTATTTGTATCCATTGTCTACTTTGTTATTATCACCGTATCTTCTTGTAAAGAATTTTGACTTCGCTTAACTCTCTTGTTATGAAAAAAAGGTTCGCATGTTAAATTTAAGAACCGTAAGCTTCGGTAAGATTAAATTACGAGATAATAGTAAATAGACGTAGTAGTAGTAGTAGTAGCAATGAAATGTATGTCGATCTTTTTATATCAATCCATGTCCTAATAAAAGTCCGTCTTTTTCTACGTGCTGTCTGATCCTCTAACACAGTCTATGTAGAGTAATCGCCTTAACCTAACTTTTGTGAGTAGAATCTTATTCTGCAGTTACTAAGCTTCCAGGTTGAACCAGGGAAATGCGTTGTTACGTGTTTGCATGTATATGAGTTACAGCTGATTTTGGGCTGAATGTAAGATTCTGTAAATCAGATTAGTTAAACGTGAACGTGCGGGATGAAACTCGTGGGTTAGTTTAATATATACTATATAATAATTGTATCACTGGTACCAATTGGGTATGAATTTTGTTACTTTGTAAAATACAGCGCTAGGTATCGAATTGCTTACCTTCTAGCGTCATTTCTTGTTGCCTGTGCAAGCAATTTCTGATAAGTTTTTTAAATCGCTTGGACATCTGGTACGTGCAGTTGTCTCGAACGAAATCACTTCCAGTTTGGAGGAAACGTGATGGCAAGGATCATTAAAAAAGACACATGACATATGAAATTCACATCCATTATATTGTTATTTTCTCTTGCGTATAAATATACCTCCCCCGATGTCCCGAACGTCCCCGATGACAGTCTTACTTATGTTGTGGCTTTGTCGTATTTATAGAATTTGTACTGCGTATATGAGGAAAGGCAGAGTCATCATGTAGTGTGAAAATGTTCACTGCATTCGGCTGATTACATATAAGAAAAGATTCTTTTAAATACAGAAGTTGTTTTTTAGACAAACTCACATTCTATTACAAACGAAGGCATAGCACACCGTTGACTTCATTGCAGCACTTGTGTATTTTGCATAAGTGATTAACCGTTTTTCTCCAAGCGGGCTGCCCAGGCTAAAAAAGCATGGGAGCCAATTCTTTTACGATATTATGGAAGCGTGTTGGTTTGAAATCAAGGGTTAAAGGTGCATGGACTATTTTGCTAGGCTCTGCGCGAGGAGGCACTTCCTGCGCCAATCCTATAGTGATGTCGATAGGGGGCCAACTAATTTAGATTCCCACGTTTATCGTCGGCTACAAAAATACCTGTTAAGTTAAAGTTTTATTGTATTAGCATTTTAATGCTCCATGGAGTTTCCATGTCCAGTGTCTAGTGTTTCCATGGAGTAATCAATGATCCCGATTGCGATACATCCTGTTTAATTGATGGATGATAACGCCAGTTTTTGTTAAAGCTGTGCTTATTGTTGGAAGGATAACTTTAATTCGTTGCGCAATAAATTAGTTCTATCAACTGCTGTATACGTGATGTATAATATTATGCTGTATTATAACATTATAACGTCAGTTTTTTAAATAATTAAAAAGGCAGAGCATTTTCATCACGTTGTAATAATAAACTAATTTATTATTTAGTCGCTGTCACTTTCTACGACCTTCTTTCATCCTTCAACCCATTTTGATCCCGACATACTAAATGTGTTCAGGTTTGGTATTGTAGAATTTATTCTGTTAGTTCTTGAGATCTTCTTCATTGCTCAATGCGTTGCTCTAATTTTATTTTCCAGCGATCTGGGAAGGTAGTAATTCATGGCGCGAGATTTCTGAAACATGGTAGTCGCAAAAGAACTTCTTACTCAAATTTGTGCAGGACGGCCTTTGTAACGTGTTGTCTGGCATCACTGTGGAAAATAATGGTCTGGAGTTCTGTGTGAAGTTTTTTCCGTTGCATGGCCGCGTTGATTCAAAGTAATTGAGTCATACATATTTTCTTCTAAGTTATTTTGTTTTCGTTCGAAATCTTCCGGTGAAAGAATCTTTTATAGTGACCTGGAATTTTCCAGTGCCTGGAGACATGTCGAAACACATTGGGGAGTCCGTATTTTCTTCGGCCTTTTGTGTAGATTGTAAGGCACCTAGACTTTTAAAGTTTCATAAAACTACATAGATTCAAGACGCTTGATGATAACAATACCATTACAGGTCATCTTCTTCATTCATAAGGTGCTGGTCGTTTTCCTTCGAGGATAAATAAACTCAAAATAATGTACCGTTCAGCATAGAAAGAACTTATGGTGGGCTTGTAGAGAGGACGCTTTTGAATGGCATATGGAAGTAAACAGAGAATAGGTAAAGGGTAAACAGGCTCTTTGAGAAAAGGTGCGTATTATCTCTGCACCAAACACACACACTGCACAAAGATGCAGTCCTAGCACAGCCATGTTGGCTAGCTGTGCGAATGGCTTTTGTCTATTGAAAACCCCCTGTTATGTAAAACTAAAGTATATAAGTGCCACAAATTCCAAAAAATTAAATATAAATAAGTTAATAATCTCCATAAAAATTGTTGTTACTTTTACAAATTTTAGCCGAATCAATAGAAAATAATTCAAGATCCACTTTTAGAGAAAAGCAAATATGCTGCTTATGCATGAACTGCCTTTAAATTTATCGCCCCGATCAGTCATTGTTTACAAATGTTGTTTTAAAAGTTTTTAATTCTAGGTGATCATCGTGACATACTGTGATCAAAACTATTTATATATAATTTATATATGTTATATTGTATTTTCATTTCTATAATAAGATCTGAAATCTGCACTAAATCTAAACTGCTGCATTTACTTCATTCAAATTTAGCATTTGCATTCATGTTCGTTAAAAAGCTATATTTAAGAAATGAGCTCACGTAAACTTTAAATAAAGGATCACACACTTCCTAGCTAAGGTAATTCAAGTTTAAAAAAGTATATCTATTTCTCCGTGTTTGTAAGGACCATAGTGTATAGAGTTTTCAGGTAAATTTCAGAAATGTTTATGATTCAATTTTCTGATCTGATCTAAGATTCTGCCTTTTGGCGAAACGAAATTCCATCTATAGTTAGAATAAGAGGTTACGTTATAGGTACAATCTGTAGCTTTCGCAGCAAATTTAGGACCGCCTATGCAACGGAACAAAAATTTTTCCTTCACCTAAACCTCGGTTAAAAATCATCAACTGTTTCCGCCCTTGAGGCTCTGAGTATGGGAGTCGTAAAGTAGGTAATGTGCCTGCCTGATCTAAAGGAAATAATTTGTAACAATATAAAATCTTCCATTATTGACTCGCATTCGGCTTATATGTGCACTAATGCACTCAAATGACGGTTTTCGGGGTGCGCAAACTGCCGAACAGAATTTCGTTATAGGTGAAAAGTCCCCACGAGCCGTTCACCACGAGTGTAAAAAACTAATGAAGGACGCCGGTTAATTTAGAACGCTCAACAAGCCAGCACTACGTCTGTGCAAGTGAACCATCTTTAACCCCAACGCAAACGCTCACTCATTTGTTTTTTACCCTGCTACCTCATTTCCTCATTGTCAAAGGTGTATCACACAGTTCCAGAGCTGAACCATCAAAAATATCTTGCAATAATAATATTCACTTGCCCCATGACAAGGTTTCTAAGCTAAGCGTGTTATTGCATTGAGGGGATACCGTAAAATAACGTGGACAAAAGAAATTTTATTTCGGGCAACATCGATGAGATCTAATGAGAATAGCTGCGTAATGACAATAACTCCATTTAGGCTATGGGTGGTCACTAATCTATTTTTGTCAGGTGTGATACCTATAATTGTAGGAAACCGTTATTCAAATTTGAAGCTCTGCCGGATATCACTTTCAGGCCTCGAAAACTCACACTTTCAATGATCGATCAACAAAACGTTTTAACTGCTTGAAGCTACACGGTTATAGAAAAACTTCGGCGGTCATTTTAAGCGTTTGCACATGTTAATGTAAAAAGTATACTTTAGCTCGCGTTTCCCATAGGGAATTCGCCACCACGTAGGCACTTGGGTTGATATTTCCTCTTTTAAGCACTAGTCTCTACCATACTTAGGAACATGCCAATGTACACCCCTGGTCAAATCAATCAAATGTACACAGTAACCTGTTAGTAACCGACTTGTTTTCAATTTCAGTCACCAGTAATTAGAAATTGAATTATTAACTAATGAAATTTAATTAGAAAGAAGAACATTTACATATAGACAGAAATAGCTGAATTCGTCACTGAAAGGTCACGCAGCTCTTTCGCTGCCTTCATATCGATTAGCCTACTACAAACGTGACAAAAGCTTGTTAAGTATCTATACATAAATAGCTGCAGTAAATTCTATGTTTTTCATATTTTCATTTCTATAGTTTTGCAAGATTCCCACTCCTCCGATTCCGAATGAACAAACACCGTGCGACACTTTTATTTCTTAATAACGTTCTCCCCAAGGATTCTCTATTCGGTATCGCCACACTTGCTGGAGCGTTAGTTCCATTGAGGGTATACTTTGTTCTGTCTACCCTCAAGGGAGGCGTTACTCTTTGATGTGACCCTAATGAGTTAAAATCGTCGAAAAATAGGTGAAGTTTTCAATTTAAAAAAATCCCACAGGCCATTTATGATGTTGTCCACTTTTGCTCAGCTTTCGTTGTTTTCATGTCTTGCCTCACGCAAGGTCAATCCATTAACGACAGTTCCATTTAATAAGAATAAGATTTGGATCCGCAGTTTCATGGTTCTGGAAAATAACATTTAAGAAAAAAGACCACATCACTGTTATGTTATGACAATGATGTGGTTTTTTACCACAGTTGGGAACAGGGTTCTAAATTTGTCGGGGAATTACGCATAAATTGCTCATATATAACGACCTTGGCTAGTATCAACGGATATTTCTGTTGTGAGACGAAAACAGAAGCTTCCCAAGATTTAGCGTTTTGACGATTTAGAACTTTTCCGTGAGCACCTTACAAATTTGCAGAGTGTCTTCCGAAGGAAACGGGCGACTTCATTTTGGCTCGCCTAAGATAACAGAACCAAGCCTATGTAATATATATAGCTTGAACAGAAAGACTATTTAAGTCTAATACGACGTTATTTTCAACAAAAAACCCATGACCTAAAAACAAGAGCGGACTAATTAAACATTATAAGATGCTTTACAGCAATAGTTTTTAGCCTTTACATAAATAAAAGTTTCAGTGCTTTAGCCTAATCTTTTGGCCAGATGCATCTGTGAGCTTTGACAGAGTCCTTTTGGATCTTACAACCACATTGCTTCACTTAGCTCAGTTCCGCCGAGTTCTCCATTTGAAACGGCTTGCGAAGAAACAATGTACGCACACATTTATGTATATATGTGTATACAAATTAGTTACTGAAAAAAGAAAAATTATACGAAAGAAACGTATAACATTTTGTTTTGTTTCTCGGATCATGGGCGTTTCAACCATTTTACGCTAAATGGTTTGCTCCAATAACATATGCCTTATTGCTTCTACTATTTCCAGCAGTTGCGGTACTAGTATCGACAGCCGTTAATATTCTTGATTCAGTTTGGATAGAAAATGGAGCACCCAACGTACTCGAGGGCGGTCGACGCTAACTAACCTATTCATAAAGAAAGGGTCGTTGAGTGAAACGCTGGCTAAATACAAATCAAACAGTAGGATGTTGGAATATTTTGTAGCTAATTGTGAGCTACTAAAGCCTGATACCTACACGAAAAAACGCCCGGCAAAGTAACAGTTCAACGGATATTTTGAAAATATTTTATTATATTGTTATATAGTAGACCTGAGAATAACATAATTATTGTAGGCACAAATTGTGGACGCGCTACCCGGTCGATAGAATGAGCTGATCGCGTCCAACCAGTATAATTGTTTACGATTGCGTCATCATAAGGTAACGATTCTCACTGAAGCATTGCCGATTGCCTCGTATTCAGATTCGCTTTAGCTTAAATTCTATCTAGTAGGGTCCCCTAGGAGAAGGCGTGTACATAAGGCGTTCTTCCCTCGGTTTTCTACGATTCCAGTGCAGATAGCAGCATAGCGCAAGAAGAATGGTGAAGGCCGTTGCAGTTAGGCCAAGGTTTACACTTTTTAGGATGAGCCAATAGTCGTGTCTGCCAAAGTCCATCGTGTACCACACGTAGTATGAATCTATATTGAATACATATATGCAAAAGAATGTTACCTCATTGCACATGAAAGTCAGCTGTTTATATTTTGATTAATGAAATAGGTTTTTCAAAGGTATGATCCTGTAGGTAAATACTTGGCTGTCAGGTTTTCCAGTCACTATCGGACCATTCCGCTGTAATAAGCAGTCTTCAGAATGGTTAACTTCTTGAGCATTAACCCAATTACTGTCGTTGTTGTTACTATATAAATGACCATTTTTATCTCATTTGCTATTCCTAAGGCTCGTCAAAGGATGCTTACAAGTCTTAGGTAAATAGAATGCTTCCGGTGTATTCAACAGCTTTCAATCTATATCCAAGTCTTAAATGTATTAAAGACAGCCTTGAAACCGTTGCTTTGGGCTATTTACAGCACGCTTCACAATATGGTAGACATTGCACCAGTTATTTTTATACTATATTATATAATAGACTAAGAATGATTCCTGTCTTATTAGAAATAACCAAGGATCTATTTAATGAACTTTTTTACTGCTGCTAAGATGATGTCTAGTAATTTAAGTACAAAGGTGCGATATAAAACTGTCTCACTCAGCTGACTTCTAAAATTCGTTGGAATTAGCCTTTGAATCCAGGGTAATACCCTAGCTTTCGTTTTCAAAATATTATTGCTTAATCTATGCGTCTCTTACCATTCAGTTTCTTTTGTTTACTAATACTCAACAGATAGGTTTCTAGTAATAAATCGTTAGAATTTCTAGTGATTATTTCTTAAACAAGATAAGTACACCGTCACGTAGTATCTAGATTAGACCAAGACCTAATTTGTTTTTGAACGTTTCACTTGCTACACTTAATACTATTTGTTGTTATAACTAAAAGTTTGCAAAACGAAGGCAAAAACGGTGACGTAAAATGCGTTTGCGTCGACTAGACGTAATGTTACAGGTGATACACGCTTGATGCGTACCATTAAGAATGCAGCGGGTATTGTTCTCGAACCGCTCGAATTTGAGTTCGTAGCCTGCTGTTTTCACGTATCCATACTGGTTTTCAAACGCGCAATCGAAGTGAGGTATTGGCAGAATCTCTGTAAGCATAGTAAGCATGGGGAATTACCATTATCTTTACGGTCTTAATCTTTTATCATTACTATTATTATTACGGTATCTATTTTTTTAAAGAAAGATTTACATTTAGGTATTCGACATGGCACCGTGGGATGTCAGTCAGCATTTTTCATTTACTAAATTCATACGTCGTTCCTTCCCTGGGCCTGCATCGGTGGTTGTCCTAACAAGTTAGTGCTATCTGCCTATCTACTTCGCTTTCATTGCCATTATACTTTCTGGAAAACTTTTACTAGACTTATTTATTTTATTCCGATGCCTTCAAAACCTAATATGTTAAATTTAGAGTTTTGGGTATTAATACGATATAATTACAACTTGCAAAATGTACTTCTATCAATGTATGTACATACCAGTGGAAGTCTGTGTCTGTTTAGTTTTATATTGATCTGCTCCTTTAAGGTGGTTGTCTTGATCTGATCTTTGCGGGCAGGTTGAGTTCGATTCTGGGACAACCTGGGTTTCACTATTACGCTTTAGATTTTGCTACTAGGTTGGATATTTCCTTCAAGTCGTAACTTCTTGCTTTACTAATTACGTTTAATTTTTTTTACTATTCTGGGCGATTTGTTGGGTAGACTTGGGAGGATGTTACGGAAAGCTTTGTCTTGGAGAGTTAGACTACCCGGAGGGGGCGCAAAAATGAATTTTCGAAATAAAGATTTTCATATTGTTGCCATTGAGGTGTAAAATGGTAACTTTTAAAAACACGGTTAAAAATATCTAGCTTATTAAGTTATTAAGAAACTTGGAAAACAGAATAATTACAATGGGAGAATAAGATAAGTACAACCGAGTATCGAAAGTACGAAATCGGCTCAACAAGGGAGGGTAAATGACTGCAAGAGACAATTACAGGATGATGGCTACTTAATAGGGCCGCGCCTGACCTAGCGTTTGGGTAATTAAGATCCACATGCGAGAGCGGACGTTATCTGTACATATGCAAGGAACGAAAGATTTGCTTTAGCTTACAATTTTAAAGTTGTTATTTCTGCAAGCTAGACACATGCAGTAGGAAGGTTATTAGAACGCTGTAATAAGGAATGGCAAATGGGGTAACGGCATTGGTATGGTGCGCTAACTAGAGTTATTGGATGTAACCAATCAATAAAATAGGGTAGCAACCGTTCCAACGTAACGAAATCACTGAAACAGAGAAGTAATCTCATAACTGTAATCGTGTACGTCCCAAATCGATGCTACATTGAATGTAACACCAATTGGAGACGTTGATATTAGAATAGGGTCATTATTGTGCCCAAGCAATGTTAACTACCCAATGAAAGCGGTAGACCTGTACAATTAATTGTACAGGGGCAATTACTGGTGCTGTTCATGAGCTATAATTTATTATCGATCCAGTATGGGCATTAATGAATCAGATAAGCTAATTCCACCGAAGACGAAATAAGCGCGAGACGAAGCCCCTGGGTTAGTTTAGTAAATTCTATAAATATGCCATGCTACATATCATGCATCATCGGTATTTATTTAATATTAACTTTGTTACCTTTTAAGATACAGGTGGTTTTGAGTATCGAATTGCTTGGCTTCTGGCACAGTTCCTGGTTGCCCTTACACGCAATTTGTGGCAAGGCTTTCGAGTTACCCGGACATTTAAAGCATTCAGCCGTCTTGTTCACGAACAGAGTCACCACGGGCTTTGAGAAAAAACTATGATAAGGCCCTAATTCTGCGAACAAGTTAGATAACATGGTAAATTCAATACCAAGAAAATCGACATTATTGCATTGCATATACATATACTTGATGTAAAGTCGGAACGTCCAAAGCCTTAGTCATGTTGTTATCTTATCGTATTTATAAAATTCATACTGCGTATTTGCGCGAAGGCATTTGGTCTTTTTACACGTAAGGAACAATAGTTCTATGTAACAGGGCCCAGATATACAGGCTTCTATCTTCGAAGGCAAACTCCACTATAAACGAAGACATAATGTAGCAAGCGTTGGCTTCACCATAATACCTCTGCATTTTGCGTTAATGGCCGCACCGACTTCCTCTGCGCGACCAGAAGCTGCCCAAATGGCAAAAAAAAGTGCAAATGGGTGCATCCTCTTACGATGTTACTACAATGCTCATGTCTGAAATCGAGAGTTGAACATGCATCGATCATTTTATTATCCTTTCCGAAAGGATACATTCTACGTGTTTGTTCTATACCGATGTTACCATTGCTTTATTAAATCCATCAATTGGATAGGTTCATATCAGCTAATAGGTTAATATTTCAATAGAGTGTCCCACAGTAATATAATTAGTGACTGCTAGCACGGGACTGTTGTACACGTCCTGTTGAACCGGTGCAGACAAGGTACACTATGGTAACGTCAAGCTGACGCTCAGTGTTTGAGTCCTGAATTTCAACCGGCTGTCCGTTGTGAATTAGATTAGCGCCGCGTATAGTAAGCTTATACTGTTGGACCTTTATACTTGGAAATGCTTAATAGGAACAAGACGGCCAACAGGCCGATCTGTATACGGTCCAGTTGTATTCAGTCAGCAAGGCTACTAAGCAGAAAATAATAGACAGACAAAACAAACATTGTGAATGTCGTCTTGGAAGAGATCAAATGGAAGTTCTGTTTGCATATGCCCTATATTCCAGACTTTGCTCCTATCACTGGCACATGGAAACCGTACACTTGATAGTGCAGAGGTCCTTAAAGGCCGGACAACTTCTTAAATGCCACACCTAAAATATTTTAGTCAGAAAAATAAATAAATCGGTAGCAAAAATAGCTCAGCGAAAAATAGTAAAAAACTTCCTTTAACGAAAAGCAAATACATTATTCATGCATTGATTTCAATAAACCTGACATTAACTTTAGCAAAGAGCTATATTGAAAGTACCTTGTAGACCGTATCAAAGTGCACTTTGAATTGAAACACAGCTGTAGGAAATATAGCACGCTGCCCATCTAAGACAATCTATATTGAAAAGCGTGCATTTGTTCCGTGAGCTAAAACGCAGCACAATATCTAGATTTTTAAGATGGATGATTAAAGACCTATGACTTTAAGCTTAAATATAATCTAAAATAGAGATTTTACCTTGCGGCGAAGCTGATTTCCATACATAATTAGGTAACAGCTCACCAATGATATGGCTGGTTTACTTCACAGACATTTTAAAATCGCTTATGCAATGAAACTGGCGATTTCTAGATAAGTTTCTTTAAGCTTTAGTTAGCTTTCTCAGTAACTAGCAAGAACATCAAATCTTTATTGACGCACGTGTTGTGTCTATATGCGAGTTGGCGCATACAAACCCGCATTTAAACACGAAATCTATGTCAATAGCTACCAAATTAGGTTTCGTCACGAGAGGGAAATTCCGGCAATTTGATTTCTCGGTTTTCACAGAGATTCTCTCGCGAACCTTATAACGACGTACGTCCTATATAATTCCTGTAACAGTAACGTAAATGGCGACTATTAAGTGAAACATCGCCGGTCTATCTCCGAAGTGGTCGACTACTAAAAAAACAGGTATGTCGAAAACCGAGCACGACGCACGTCCGCTTTGGACTTCACAAATGCATATACCCCTGTTGAAAACGACCAGCACACAGGCATCAAACAGTTCGTTACAAGAGTCATTTCTAGAACGATGAGAAACAGAGATTAATGACGACATCGATAGATACAGAAAGCTTAACAAACAAGTGTAGCGTAAATTCGAGTGAACCCTTTTTAATCCCACGCGTATCTGCACTGTAGATTTTCTATTCTGCTGCCCGCGCTTCCCTATTTCACGAATATGTCATCTAGTTCCACCGCTGAATCAGCCAAAATCGCCTCGAATAATAATCATAATGGCCACTTGCTTCGAAATGCTGTAGAATAAGGTGGATAAAAGAAATGCATCGATGTCACTAGATTCGAAATTGTGACAGATGTGTAATTGTCGACCAAGTCCTTAATGGCGGTATCGGACATGCGAGTCGAAACACCTTTAGGCGTCGAGCAAACAACGAGTTGGAACTCTTTGATTCACTAGGCACAAGCTTACTCACGCCAGACTAGACGTTAGACTAGGCAAAAATGACTCATGCTTTACGTTACGAGGCCGGTTAGTCCTCAAGAACAAAAACTGAATATGCGTGCAATATATATCGCCTTGCATCTGTCTTTTCTTCCCACCTTTGAAGACAGGATTGTAAATACAAACAGAATAAAAAGCCTTCGGAAGGGAATCGCTTACAGCTATGTAGCTAAATTGACCATGTCTAATGAACCTGGTTCAAGGGATGATTTCTTCATATAGCTATTATATATATACATATATATATTAGACCGCAGGGTTGATAAAAATCCCAAAGATTTTAGCTTTTCAAAGTTTTGAATTTCTTCCGAAGGCGTTTATGTCAATACTTCAATAGTTAGCCGAGCGTCTCAGTAGGGGAACAGTCCACTTGCTTCTGTCATAGCACCAATGGAAGTCGCAATCATTTGTGCGTGTCTCGCACAAACTGCGCGTTCAGCTGTCGAATTTTATTGTTACATAGATAGAAAATAGTTTTCTCATTCACACAATATGTATATGTATCAATACACAATCAATAATGAAGTGTTATGAAGCGTCACATAATGAAAAAGACCTTCAGTTGGTTCGTTCTTTTTTGTCTCTACTAGTACAGGAGGCATGATTTATAAGGAACACGGGCAGAAATACGTTGATTAGACACCTAGGAGTTAATTTTTCCACTTAACATCGTGTCCTATTAGCGATTAGAAAGATTAGCTCCTTAGATCTTGTAAAGCGTATTCGAGTCGATTATCCAATAGACTATTGTTGACCGTGTCGAGGAACAAGTCTCCTACCTTTATTCTATGTAATCTAGAGCTTCGGACATGCCCCGTGATGCTAATAATCTTATGAGTATGCAAACAGAAAATATAGACATATGTCATGCTTCTATTTCAAACTATTCCTTGTAGTTTTAAATCACGCCATAGCTTATTTTTGATCAAATTCACGACTGCTCTCATTTCTGTGATTATATACATACAGAAGTGATATATATGTAGAATCTGATCTCTTGTTATTGGGAAGTGAACGGTACAGTAAGGTCCTTTTAGCCCCTAGGTCTTTTTAGCTCTTTTTAGGGAGCAAAATCTCTTATATTCGGCCAAGATACAATAGACCATAGAGACAATCAGTCCGATCAGCCTCTATTCAAATAGTTGTGAGTCAGCGGTCGCTTTTACTCGTTTTTCTTAAGACGATTTTGGATAAACTGTGTAAGATGTTGTTAAGGCAATGGAAAATTCGTGCTGTAGAACAAAACTCGTTGTATAGGAAAAAGCCAGTAGCAGCCGATGATGAGCATAGATAAACGTTCACTTCGAAGGTAAGATTGCAACGATAATTCTAACCTGCGTAGTTGACCGGAAATACCCTAAACGTCAATCCTTTCCTATTCGAATGACTTAGACCGTCTCTATCTTTAATATAACGTAACATAAAAAGAGGTGTACAAAATACGCGATCACGTAGTATCGAAGCTCGAAGATTTGGCCAAGTGAATGAGCCACCCATACTGAGCATTCTTATAGCGTATTCTGTGTCAACGCAAAGATTATCCTACGATGGACAGCAATGTCTGCCTACACGTTCTCTCGCTTCTATGTTTAAAATAAGCATTTTCTTATTATCTATGAGACTGTTTGACAGACGTGTCAGCATCCTAGACATCGACACAAGACTGATGCCATTCACAGGGCTAGAATGTATCACACCCACTGATGATTTAGCAAATCTAAAATTATGACATCCGACGATTGCCATCGAAACGTGGTCCCCTTTAAAAAAAGATACTTGAAACTTTAATGTTTGTAGCAGGCACGTCGACCAACTTCCCTCATTCAATTCTCGGGCTTCTTCTGTATGGGCTCTGGTTACTGATGCGCTCCGCGCATCAGTAACCAGAGCCCATACAGCTTTCGAGTTATATAGTTGTTATGGTCCAGATGCCTAAAGCTTGATTTTTATTTTTGTTGGCATACAACATATGACCGTTCTACGCAGCAGGACGCTGATAAAACAAGCACCTACCCAGCTGCTACCGCAAGGGTACAATCAGTCATGTGTACTAACTGGAACATATGCAAAAAGTACGTTTTTTAAATCTCCTATAGAAGCGTGTAAAGAATACGTTAATGAATTGCGATGTCACAAAGGTACGTCGCACACAAGGACTTGTGTGAGTAGATTCTGGCTTAGCGTCTGAGTCGCTGTCTTGAAAATTCAAATCAGTATTTCCTAGGCTCAGCAAAAAGATACCCGAATGACTATAACTGAAAACAGGGCCGCGTCTTTGGAAGGGAGATTCCTGCGGCATTAGGACCGGCACAGATAGAGGATGATCGTTGAAACTTTCTACAGAAAGGAAGTCATTCTTTAGCTGATAGCAATTTGGATGACCATTGCGATATCAACAAAGAAAACCTATGCAACAGTAGTGTTATAGCAAACTTCCAGTCATTCCAGACCACCTACGAATCAGATCTTTCCGAGCTTTGTAAGTCCATATCACTCACGTCCGTTGATACCCCGATGAGTTCCTTGAGTGCAAACGCTTTTGCCTACGACAATGATTTGCAAATAAATAATTTTAGTGACTAGCTAGCTTGTCTGACGTCTGAAAAGGAGTAGCCGGTCGAAACAGAAGACGCTTTAGTACCGTCGACGGGCTCAGGGATTGATTGAACATTGGTAAAATCTAGATCGGGCTTTTCGGTAAGTTGTTTGTTTAGTCTAAACACTAGCACGTCCGAGTGTGTCGACTATAAATAGACAACTGGACGGAGGTAACTAACTATTCCACCTGTCGCCGTTCAGCTGACTAAGAGATACAAAACCTTATGCGAAGTCGATTTTTTATAATGTTTATTAACAAATTCGGTAATAATAAACATGTATAAAAAGATAAACTGCGGTTTCTAGCCGAAGTAGTTTTGAACTCTACGTATGTGTGTTGATACACGCGTATAGTTTGTTCCACTGTGCATACGTGCTGCGTGTTTGGTGATTTGTACTTTGTATAATATGCCGCTCTCATAAACAGGGTATCCACTATTAGTTCTATGAAAATAATTTTTTCTTTTCAGTCTCACTTCGGTGGGAGACAAATTAGTACCTGGTATAGTCCCACCCAGATAGAGTTGAACGTAAGGAGAAACTTGAGTGAGCGCGGTGTTAGAGAACTTATCTTCTAGATTAATGCAATGCCCGAGGGTGTACAAATGCACTTCGTGCCAGCGTATAGTCATCTCAAGCGTTGTTCGTAATGTATAAATAATGAATAAATAATTTATTTAAAAAAGTTTTGGAGCATTTGGACTTCACTTGTTCCCTTATCAATGTGGCGTTTAGTATGTCCCAACCATTCTTAAGTAAAGTTTCTAAATGTCTTAAAACTGCTCGCTAATTATGGTCGTAGGTGTCATGGTGCCCTATTACATTATACCTACTCTTATGCCTACAGGGACTGGGGGGTTCGTTAACGGGCTAGTCGAATAAAACGAATCGCCTTTATTTTCCCGTTCTTTCCTAGGGAAGTTGTTCACGCCTTGGGCCTATGGAACGCAGTGTGCGTGTACGTTGCCTTTTTACGTATCATGCAAACAAAGCTTCGGAAGACTTTATGTAGAAAAAGCACGATTACTACTATACCTATTCGTCTACATGAATGTCGTATACTGTTCTAGAAGAACGAAGACTCGTGATTCGCCTGTGAGAGTATTATGCCGTAGTGTATTTTAACCCAGTGTCCACATTCATCTAGATGAGTGTTATGTTTGGGCAATTCCCGCCGTTATCTGTAAACAACGCAGCGGCGACGAAACTTTCTGCTTGCAAATGTTACTCTCAGTAAAACCCTATAAACCAGTTAGATCTTGTATTGTCGCCGGGTTTTTGTGAAAATTAGGGCTAAATACTGTTCGTCCGACATTGGAGGCGCCCGAAAAGGGCTGCGAGTAAGACTTTAACGCTGTGGGGGACCAAGATATGTATGTTCACACAGTTACACTACTGACTAATGCTCGAGGCTACACGTGCGCCGTTTCACCAGTTCTGGCAAACTCGATCGGCCAATCTTATATAATAAATCCGATAAGCATCACTGCTATACTGCACTATCCCAGTTGTGTTCTGTTGTTAAATCGACATTTGCCGCCGATCGTTCTGCCCTCCTCATGTCAAGTTACGTTCTATAATAGGCATTATAATTGCAATGATACGCATATCGTACACTCACTGTCATTGCCCGAAGCTGCCACGACTCGTCCCGATTCAGTGAGCTCTGATAACCTGTCACGTGACTGCGAAACTAGTGGCCAAACATCTACAGTGCGCCGTCTCATCATTAGCGGTGGTTCCGCTGCAAAGGCGACTAACGAGCAGCACCTTTATCGGCCTGATCGTTTGGTTCGATCGAAGATTGATATTGGTGACTCACCACCTCCGGTCTCCACTACCGAGTCACCTCAAAGCCCTCCTTCCAGTTGCAGCGCATCACAAGTTTATTCCACTTCATCAGTGGAAAGCCCCCGAGATGTCGTTTCCAAGGACGTTAGAGGGCTAGTCCCAACTGCTCACCAACAATCTCTAGCGGCCGCTGGGATCCATCCTATTCTTGTTCAAAGACGTCGAGCATCGTCTAAGGCAAAGAAGTTACAGACGCCGGCTATTTCAAATGCTATTAGCTGCGATACGAACAACTTCACGACCGTCATCAACCATCTGCCTCGGCTTTCTCGGGTATTCAAACTCACAAATCTTGCTTTAACCTCATTAAACAAAATGTACAGTACCAAATAGTTTTTGTAGAATGTCTTTATTTATTCTTTTGACTTCTGTTCAGTAGCTAAACAAGAGTGCGATCTAAAAGACTAAAAGAGAAAGTAATAAATTTTATTGATAAACGAAGAAAGATAAGCACTTTTGTTCATAATCATTTTTGTTGACAGAAATACTATAATAATATATAGAATAAATTGTTGACATAATAGTTGACAGAAAGTCGGCGGAATTTCGGCCCACATTTGGTTTCAAAGATGTTATACGAAAGAATAAATGCGCAAAGCTGTCGCCATACCTTCCTGGTTTCCTATGGATTCTGATTTTTGTTTCTCACGATACCATGGCGATCCAACGCTTTCAAAAGACATTTAATGTAGAATTAACATAAGCTATAGTTTATCCTAACTTAAGTTAGTGGCCCGTATTGCAAGGCAATTTAGTGTCGGTCTTCTATAGTAACTAGTAGTCGCCAATGAGGCTCCGGTTTACGATGTTCTTTGTTTCTAAGGGCGTTCTATATCGGCGTCTCTAAGGCAAGAGCCTGATTAAATATAATATTTAGACAATGACCGTAGCAGTCAATAGTGTCTCATTCGACGTCATTTTCAGGTTAAAAAAGAAAAAAGACAAAACACAAATGTGACCTATGTTTGGCCTTATAAAGATTGCCCCTATCATATTTTGTTCCTTTTGCGTCAGAGACTATCCCGAAAAATTCTGAAATCTTATTCAGTTATCTACACGGGCATTTCGTTGCTAGACTACAGCAGAAGGGGCTAATATACCCAGTTTCCTATTATATGAATTACAAACTATAGGCTTCTTTTTTGTAAAGCACTAACCCATTTATTCGTGTGTCTCTTTGTGCCAATTACTTTACAGACGCTGCAGTTCCGTTTATCGCAGAACATAACAAGAATAATCAGTTGCAGTCCAGGTACCCAGGGCCGTGGTTCGTACAAGAAGCCCAAGACGCGGAATCGACAGAAGAAGCTTCGACATTTAGCTTACCGCGCCCGCTCAAAAAAGGTGACAATGAAAACATTGATAATGGTTTATTTCAACTTTTCTCAAAATATACATTGTGAAGTTGTTTAGTTAACGAAAAAAGAGCTCCATAATTGAGCTGAATATACTAGATATATGTTTCAGGGGATGAAGCCCGTTCTCTTCTCCCCCCGGCCCGCCTGCCGCGCTGCGTTTGGCAATGCTAATTACATCTGATATAGTAACAGGACCAGATTTAACCAGGGGGCGTACTCCATATTAGTGAATTGCCTTTATCCCAGTCAATCAGTGAGGTTGGAAACAGCTGGACATATGAGTAGCGCGTAAATTGTTTCGTGTTTTTCAGCCATTTAAATTCTGGGTTATTGCCCAGGTAGGCGTACTTGTAAATTGTGACACTACAAATTTGTTTCACCTGGTCAATGCGGTTAACACTAGAAAAAGCCAAACTGCTTCGAAAGAAAAATCGAACCTTCTACTGTCAAAGATGTCAAACCTCAAAAATTACACACAGAATCAGCTTTTTAATTTCTGTACCTTGGCTCATATGTTAGGAACTAACAGAGGATTCTGACGTAACGACTAATGAGTTTATGTCAAAAAGACGTTGTGGATCTAGTTTACCGACAGTTGTGGATGTGGTCAGTTTACTCTACACACTCTTATTTCTTTGATACGAACTTTTTTACTTATGAATTGGGATAATATGTGAAATAATTTAGCCAATACATTTTACGAGCATTGAACGCTTTGGCTGGAGTGCAGGCTGTCAATGGATTAATGTGGTAACAAGTTTTTATATTTTGAGTAAGATAATTATTTTATTTTATAGGCATTGACTAAGGGCGCTAAAAATACAAGGCTGTGTAACAAGAGAAGTAAACAAAGAGCCTTAAACGATGTAGGGACCTTGGATAGCTTGGCACCACGCAGAGAAGGAAAATTAACGGTCGGTCCTAATGCCATTTCTCGAACTGGCCCTAAAAGCCATCACTCGAAGTATCCTAAGAGTGATAAAATCGAAGAAAAACAGACGGCTTCAATAGAGCGCGAGAGGGAAAAACAAAATGAATCTTTTACAGACGGCGTAAATCAACCGCAGCAGCAGGACAGTAACGAACAGCCAGAGTCCGCTAAGGGCAACAAAAGCAATAAGCGGAGAAGAGATACCCACCAATATACACGAGGGCATTCTAAAAGTCGAACATCACATCCTGCCCAATATGACTGTGTGAACCTAAATCAATGTCTTGTTTTTTAATCGATCATTCATCAGGTGTCAGCGGGCGGTCGGTTAATCTAGGGTCCTTTTAAGCCAGGGTAAATGCTCGAGAGAGGTTCGCTGTAGCTAAGCATTGCATTGACGTTTTTCTTTAGGGTTTGTACGGAAAAGATATGCGACATCAAGACATCGAAGTGCTCCTAACTCCCTACGCCCTATGCATCTTTATTTTGAAAATGGGTAAACGGGGGTCATAGCTTACCGAACTTGGGGACGTGTTAGAGGACAGTGAGTTTCGCTACGGTCTGGCTGCTATCAACAATGCAACTACCGGCCGATACAAGTAGCGAAACTCAGAACAATGCGCTAAATAATGAAAATATAGGAAAAGAATGCATAGAAAAGAGACCAGAGCAAAATAAGATACCATATTATTGACAGGTGAGCAAAATTTCATGCTATAGTAAATAAATAATATTCGTTAATATATATCCATATTGTATTGTATTTGTTGAAAAAAAAGTATACATCATTACCTATTTTTTTAAAATAATTTCATCTTCTCTAGTAAACGTATCTTAAAAATACGGCCATTATCAATATGCTATGTACAAACAGCGGTTTCGCTTTACTCGTACCGGAGACATACCATACATTTACCGATTTACTTTTTTCAATAATTTCTTCCCCTCGCTTCAGTAGCATGGTATTTTGGCTACCATTAGTTTAGATTACTAATCCAGGTAATAAAATTTATTTAAATAATCTCTAAACGAAATGATAAGCCTCATCAATTTAAAAAATTCATGAGGCTTTTATCATTTTATTTTCTAGCCAGCGTTGTATCGACCGCCGGAAATGGTATACCATTAGTAAGCCACCCTCTCGTCTGAATAGTACAGAACATATCATAACGTACATCAAGCGAAACGATACTCTAACACCATATCCTACGATTTTTTCCTAAAGATTTACCCGTGGTAAGAGACGTTCCTTTTTGGGCACGCTGAACGGCACCAGAGCGTACAATCAACAACGTCAATATCTACGATACAGGATCGTTGGGTAAATTGTTCATTTCTCCGTTGAGTCTATTGACAACTCTGGGAACATTGCTAGGATGGTCGACTCTCGCCATTCAGATATCACACTATTCCGTCGATCTCGTTCGAAGTAATTCCATTACACAGGTATAGATCATACACGTTACGGTCGCAACGCTGCGAAAAACATTGCTGCTCCTCTCCGATCTATACACCGTAAATTCGTCACTTTTTAGCTCACCCAGGCTATATACATTTGTGTGATTAGCAGATATAGGAATAAACAACTATAAACACTTCGCAGGGCATTGAGTTCCTAATTTTCTTTTTGACTATCAATGTTTTTCGGCGCAAAGATGTATAAGGTATAATCTATAATATCATGTCACACTGCCCTGTTACGTTGTTTTGGAAGCATTTTACGAGTCTTATAAATAGGTTGCCGTATGGCTACACAATGGGTCTCTGTCGGTGTTTAACCCGTGTCATATCCGGGAAATTTAAATGCCTAAGGTTTTAGGTGTGTCTTTCCCTGTGCGGTTCTAGCGGTTCCTGTATTTCTACACATGTCGTTTATATATGTAATAAGGGTGCTTATTTATGTTGACTATACGCGAATTTCAACTCTAACCTTTTAAACAATAGAGCTCTTGGTGTGCCCCCTGCACCATTTGCGGGGCGAAAATTACCTTACTAGCTAAGAAATACTGATTAGAAAAAAGCATTCATTAAATTTTTCTCAAAGTAGACTAAAAGCTACTTCAATTAATGAACTTTGGTTTTCTTGAAGTCAAGACCTTTCGGAGACACAATAAAAGCAGGAAAAAATCGATCAGACGATCTCGCAGCTCTCATACGCAGCGAGAGCGGGTGCATTAGGCACAGGGTACTCAGCTAGCTCTATTCAGGTATCATTTATGTTTTGGTTATCTATTTTTTAATGGGCACTACAAAAAAAAACAGGCAAAAATATACCTTTTTTTTTTTTTGAAAAAAGGCGTATAAATCGTACATAAGAAGGATATGCTAACAAATATACTATTCTTTTTCCTCGAACCATAAGCGAATTAAACAAATAGAAAAAAACGCTTTGAACTTATTATGACAATTTTATTCCATCGAAGTACTCTAAATGTTCGATTTTCCCAATTTGAATTAATAACTCGAAGAGCCTTATCCGTAACATTGTCGTTTTAATTAGCTAATTACAGTTACAAGAATTATCGCGATAGACAAAAATTTAGTATATATATATTTAGTACCAAATTTTTCAAAGCTTTGCTTGGCGGGAAAAAAAATAGAAATAAAAATGACCGAACCGAAGTGAAGTATCAAGTCATCTATCGCATCTGTCTATGGCATTGCTAAAGAGGATACGGGATTGAGGTAGGGCTTAACATAGTTCACGAGATTTTAAGTCATCTGACAGCAATAAAACGATGAAAAACATTGCCATGGTCATAATTGTAATTTCTAATTGCACCAATGTCGTCTCTTGAACCCGTCTTTTTTTTTTCTTGTTATTAAGGTGTAATTGCCGATAGTAATTGTATCCTGTACTTACAGGTCGACACTTGTAAACTGTTCGCCTGTTGTTCCATGAAAGTTGAGGAGAAGGGACAATATATAGTTTGACGCCCTAGTTGTACTAATGTTCAGGGATTGCGTTGAATCAACTAGATCTTCTATGAGGGTCCGACGCTCTCCGTCCAGATACTGTTCCATCATATCCTGCCATGCTTGTGGCGAATACAGAGTGTCTCATCATCAACAATCGATCGATACTCCAGACCGTATGTTATTCTGTCATTGCAACTTACTTAGTTGCTTCGCTCGGCGCAACTAACCTCCTCAAGTATCTCCTTACTGCCGCTTCACTGGGATGAATGCTATTACATAGGGCGCTTGTTTGCTGCTATTGCCAATACTACGTCATGGCTACCCGTTGCTTGCAAAGACCGACCAGTGATCCACAACTGCGTGCCTACCTCAGGCAATTGAGCTAGCACGTAGCGGCTGGGCTGGACCAGCGAGCAGGCAGGCGGGCAGGCAGGCAACAGCCAGCTAGGTACTTCAGCTTCATGCCTTCTTCGGCAGTCTCACAACGCAGCCGTCCATTGGTCGTCGCCATTGGTTTGTTGGCTGTGTGACTGGCTGGACTGTCACTGCCAGAGTTTGATCGGCTGTGCGTTGCGTCTTCTCCGTGGTACTCGAAAGTACTCGAAACCACTTCAGCCGCTCTCGAAACGGCGCTCAGAACAGGACAACACAGAATCGCCTGCTACTGATGCGCATACATAACTGCAGTTTCGCTTAGTTTAGGTTATTCTAGGTTAGACTAGCTATAGGCATATATAAGAACTATGGTATACAGTACGCGAATGTGTGGTAGCAACATCGGTCTGCAGCGACCGTCCCACCGAATTACACCGTCACCCTACATGCGTCTAGCTTTTGGTCTGAATCTCGTTCGTTTGCTTCTCGATTCCCGCCATCCAGTGTCCGCCTCTTGAACACAGCTGCGGATCCGATGGATCTGCACTCGATTCGTTCGTTGGCGTTGTTAGTTACCTCGTTGGTGAGGTTGATAGAGCTAGAATTAGAACGATGATGATGATGACGACCTGAACTATATTTCTCTCGCGCCCTCTTACTCTCCCTGGCTTTCTCGATAAGATTTCCATGCGGCCGGCAGAAGGTACGACAGAGGATTATCCGCACCTGGAGTGCAACGTGGTAGCATTGACAGTAGAAACCATCCAGACCCATGCAGCGCTTCGCGCGTCAGGCGAACCGTGTAGCTTTTAGACTCTTGAATGAGTATGAGAATGGCTGCGTTTTGAAGGAGCTTGGCCAGAATACCATCGTGAAGTGCGTGCATTATATTCGATCGTATGTAGCTGCCAAAGCATAATTACCTACTCAATCATCGAGATACTGGCGTTAGCATGAATCACTGAACGCGATTTTTCCCAGTCGTCTATTTAAGATAAATGTATACATGGGAGTTTTATATACATATATTTATCTTAATAAAGATAAATATATGTATATAAAACCATTGTACGATTAGAGTCGGATAAATTGATGTAGGTAGCTGAATCAACTACACACTTACTTGTAAATGAAAAATCAGCTCTTCTGCTACTTGTATAGGGTTTAGCTAGGTCGCTAATAGTATTTTCAACAATCAGTTTCAATGCCCAGTTTGGTTTCGTCGGGCCTTTCGAAGCAATGCTTCACTGAACTAATGGGCTTGGGCAGCGAAACCTCTGAATGGAAAAACTAGAATTCATTGGATTAAGCCCTGCCATTCACATACATGTACCACGCAAGATATGCAAAGAAGGTAAGTTTACGAATCCGTTAAAGGTTGAAGTTCATGTTATGACAGATACTTGCGTGCCATACAGCGTTCACGCTTGCTACAATTAGAAAGCTTAACCATGTCAGATACCATCATTAATTATATCACTTCTCGATTTAACACGGATTCCGCTGTCGTCATTTATCTTCATCTTACGCGTCAATATCGTTTTCTTGACGTGGTGAAAAGCATCATAGGTCCTATTGATCGTTAAGCACTTTCGCAGCATTTCCGTATCACTCAGCTTTTTACCGCTAAAGGCAAATATCAGCAAGGTAATAATACATGTAGAATAGTTTCAGCTTATCAGTATCATCCTAGGAACACTATCACAAAATAATGTATTTTCAATCTTAGTCGAATTCGTGCAAGATGAAATGGAACTTGTAATACTCGGCGGGTGTATACACTCAGACACACATGGACATCTTAACGTGAAATGAAGTCCTGCAGTGAAGTCCTGCTAAGAACTTGAGAGAATACCAATCCGGTGACCCAGAAACTCATGGGGCTACATATATATATGTAAGCGTAGTCGGATTAAACATGATTTGGTGAAGAAGTTTTATTACTATAAGCCTATGGAAGGCTGAACACTTACATAAGAAAATATTACAGTGATAATGTAACGTTTACGAAATTTTACTATATACAATAATAATAGATAAATCTGAAGCAGTACGTCGCCAAGAGCCTCTGAGATAGGGAACTGATTGGACTAACCGTTCTTAAATAGTACCATGGTAGTGTTGCGTTTATGATGATGGCACCACCTTTGAAGATGACTCGTTTTGAATCATCGAGGCTCAGTAGATTATTAACAAAACGTCATTTACATCTATAAGAGTTATAATAGATTTGTTAGAAAAACACATACTCAAATGTACTGTATCTGTACAGAGAAAATCTTGTTTGTCAATTTACTAGTAATATGCGCGCGAAAGCTTTCTCGCCCCCTGTTGCGGCTTATATGTGGGTAGGCTAAATACGCGATAGACCTGCTAATCTGAAAGGTTTAGGTGCAAATTTGCGTCTAGCGACACTTCGATTTGTTCTGGGAGCCAGGCATCTGATGGTTGACGGCGATACCGCACGGAAAACTCGAAATATAGGGAGAGTCCAAACACATGGGCTGTTAGTTGCCCACTTTCGAAAAAAAACAAACGAAGTTATCGTTTTTTTAACATCTCTCAGGGCAGTACTATTATAGATGCTGGACTTTCACACACTTCGTCGAGGTTCTTGCAGAAATGTTTCAATTATTTTTTCTATCTTTGTAAATCGATAGACGCATAAGTGTATTTATTGCTCTACACACAGTTTAATAATAACAATGTGGGAAGTGAACGAGCAAAATGGCATTCATTCGCTACAAGCTCGTTTTATCTACTCTTTGTCTTTATAAAATATATCTGCAATTGGGTGGGTGTGTATTGTAGCACAATGTCCCATAGAAATATGAACTAACTGAGATCGACGGTCGCTTCTTCATACATCAGTTGATCGAGTTTAGGTACCTTCCCTTTTCCAAATCTATTTCAGATATTCGTAACTTGCACTTAGAAAAAAATTGCATCTTGGTGAAGTATCAACATGTTCTCACAAGATGTCATCTGATAGTCTACCTTTTTCCCAAGTTTATGAGGAAAGGTCATCATCTCGTTATATAATTTCATAGGAACAAAATAAAATCTAAATTTCGCATCGATAGGTTAAAGATTAATGCGGGCCTTCATTAGTTTTTAGATAGCTTACCTAAGTCTGCAGTTGCTTCAGGGAAATCACTTAGTTTTTTTACCTTTTCCTTTTCACAGAAGAGCAATAGGTGGCATATCGCAGGCCATCACTATATGTGTGGGTCTATCTAGCACATAGGCATAATGGCGCAGTTATCGTAAAAAAGAAAGAGGAAAAGCATGGTTTCTATAGCCGTTTTAAATATAACCAAATTATAACTATGATTAGCGGCCCTTGTAGTCTACTAATACATTGCTACAAGCTCTCCATTATTCTTTGGGCACCTGTGTAACACTTTTTTCAGGGAAGGCTCACCGATATACACTACTGCCAATCGCATTTGAGCTTTTCCGTTTTCTCAGGAAATAACGAGCCATCGGACTCGTGCGTTTGTGGCGGACTTCATCCATCAATCTTACTATATATATATATATATATATATATATATATATATATATATATATATATATATATAGCAGCCTAGCATCATTATTATTAAGCAGGCCACTAAGAACGGGCTTCCCGTTTACCCTGGACTAAGAAGATCTTTGTCCAGGGTAAACGGAGGTTTTTAAACTGGTCAAATTTTCACTGCTAATGTAGAAACCGGTAACGATGTCTTAAATATAAAAAATTGCACATTTCGTACACCTAGTATTATTTTCTAGACATTGCTTCGATGTAAAATGAAAGCGGACAAAAAGTACAGCGAAATATATATGTATTTTTAAAAATTTACGTCACCTATACATCCTACCGCACAGATACTAGTACACAAGCAGATCCACACGAATTTTTCACGGGTTTCATAGAACAAATGTTGCTCACAATTAGAGTCTTCGCCCATTAAAAAATAACCCGAGCATTCTATTGTAGGTATGCAGAGAGAACAACTCGGGGCGAGAAAAATTCCAGCCTTATGTGTCGTAGGAAGGTGGATCGTCACTTTTATATTATCTCTTAGCAGAAACACGAATAACGTTTCTTAAATACATTGGTTGAGGTATTGGCTTAAACACACTTACCAGGACCCGCCATAAAAACCAGTGTATGATGCTTGGTCGTTTCGATTCTTTCACGAAAAAAGGAGGAGAAACATCCTTTTTTCTCTCCATTAAGAATGCAGCAGCTCGATCGTATGCTATTTGTTGCTCCCATGACTTGGGAAATTAGATATTTCTATTTTGAAACTGCAGTCTTAGAAAAGCATGTTTACTCCTTATGAATGGATGTGATCAATGCATATATAGTATGTTATTTGATACAAAATTTACACGATTTAAAGTTGAAAACTATGCGTCTTCTGCGGCGTAAAACAATAACACTTTAAATTCTAAAACATTTGTTAGATTCCGGTAAATACAAGGGTTACAGATTTACAGCAACTTCCAGGGGAACACTGATGCTAAATCCAAGCATTGGAAAAAGGTCCTTATAATTTAATTCTCTTATCTTACGCAGCAAATACAAAAGCGTCTGCTCTATTCGAAGTGATCGAACTATTTTCTGCTTTTGTTTGTGCGACTTCATCACGTTCACAATCCGTTTTCTAGCATTCGAGTTTAAGCTCAAACCGAATCCGGCTGGTAGAAGTAACAGTCCTTCACTTCTTCGCCAAGTTATCACTCTCGCTCTCTCGCTCCCTCTGCCTATCTCTCTCTCTCTCTCTTTCTTTCGCTCTTAGTCCTTATAGGTCCTGCAGCAAAGCTTCAACAATTTCCAGGCGCAGGGGCCCTTCAAAGGGACGAGGCAGTCAAATCTTCTAGCAAATTAGACTAAAGCCTTATCGATCAGCGCAATTAAACTAAGGTTGACTTTGCGTCATGGTGTTATCCTTTTTAAAGGCGCAGAGGACGTGGCAAACGACAGAAATTCGATCGGCAGAATTTGGTGTTGGGGCAGTAGACTAGCTGCTAGTCGTACCAACATCAAGGCATAGCCTGATAGGGTGGTATACGAGCGCAATCCGTGGGCAACAGTTGCAGTCAACCGTACGCCCAATCGTAATAGCAGTAGCAGTGGTTATCGCGTAGCAATACAGTATTAGCGTCGAGGACACGTCACTTGCACGCGCGCGGGAACTCCTTTGACGGCTCCGGGCATCACATGGGACAGAATGGGTACGGCGGGCCGTGGTGCTTGCTGCTGGCGGTGGCTGGTGATGACGACCATTTCGTTTACGGAATAGTCGGCAAGCGACGATCACCGAGGCGCCTCTCCCGTTGTTTGGCAAGCTGGCCTCAATCCGCTGCTGGTAACAGCAGCGGCCGCGACAAGAGCAGCTTCATCAACATCAGGCGGTTCCGTCAGTGACATCATGGCCTCCCCGCCACAACAATTACCCCGCTGATTGTTTAACTCGATTGCCCTCCTCCATCGGTTCCTGTCTAGATCGGCCGATCCTCGCTTCGCCATTGGTCCGCCAGCCTCTGCCAATATACAGTGAGCGGGGCTCCGATTGGCGAAGGTGGGTCTTCACCGCCCCGCCTCCTCGGTACCCTCAGCCGCGCGTCGGAGAGGTGCTCCTTTGTAGGGTGTAGTGCGGTGGAGAGCCCTTCACTTGAAGAGGCTTCAGTCGAGAGTCTTCGTGCGCTTTTGCTACTTGCATGTCTCGTGTTCACGAGGTGGTTCGCTTGGCTTGTATGTCGCTGAGCGACGTCGAACCAAGCAAGAAACGAGCGCTAGCAATCTTACGTTGTTAGCCAGCCGTAGAGCGAGACTACGCTACGAACAAGCCACTACGAACAACGAAAGAAGCGACTCTTACATGCTGTCGCCATTGCCGGCTGCATTGCTCGGTTCTTTTGGCTGTACGTACATCCGCAGGAAAACAAGCCAAGCACCTGCTGCTACCGCTGCTGCTGCTGCTGCTGATCGAACCAGCCCCCGAAGGCAAGCAGCATCAGCGGTGACAGAGTTATACGCCTGACTATACATCCGGTAGAGCCAAGCCCGGTTATCGGGTTAACACAGCTTTCTGCCCCACCACAGACGGCAGCCTCCGCTGCAGCAGCGACTGACGGTAACCGACCTGCCGAGGCCAAGAGGCTCGAAGAGCACTCAGTCGTCCTCCAGAAGAAGAGGAGCCATCGGGAAGGAGTGCCACCATCGGCTCAAGCCAAGTGCCATCCAAAGCCAAGTGCCCCTGGCTGCCGCCCTGCGGGGCCGCTACTATTACTACTAGTACTATTGCAACTACAACAACTGCCGGTGCTATAAGCACTCAGCTGCTGTGCTGGTGTCGCCGCTGCAGCCGCCGCGCCTGAAGCGCGTCATCTGCTCGCGTGACGGCTGGACTGGGTTTTCTGTTGCCGCTTACGGACGCTAACAGGCCGCAAAGCCCGGCGCAACGGGCCGCGTCTTTGCGCCCGCGGTCTCAGTTGCCAATCTAAGCGGTGCTCAAGCAAGCTCGAGCGAGCACCGGCTGCAGCCTTCCTCATTGTCGTCATCGTTGTTGTCGCTAACATTGTCTACCGTTGGTGTCGCACCGGTAATTCCCGTCGCCCGACCGTTCTGCTTGTGGCGTCGCTGGTGATGGACAAATGAAGAAATTTGCTGATACCGTGTATTTACGCCCAGCTGTGCCCAACTAGTGTCTCAACGGTCATCAGCATATACTCCGTACTATTCAAGCCGTACTTTATTGCGTTCCTAGAGCGCCTACCTCATTGCTGGGCCGTCACCCTGGCTACCATCTGAGTGTCATTATCTACTACCCCCCCCTCCCCGCCACCACCACCCCCCCCCCCCCGCCATTTTCCCAACGCACAGTTCTGGTCTCAAAAAGTTCTACCACTGCTACAACAACCGTTTCAGTTTACCGAACGAGCAGGTTAGTAAAAACGTTTATTCTGTTTGCATGTACAAGCACGATAAGGGTGAACTGGAGAACTTAGTAGTGGTGCGATGGTTGCTAATCGAAGGGCAACGATATGGCAGCCGACGTGCGCTATTACCTTCTGGCCGCCTTGCTGATAACGACAAGGAAAGATGAGCGGGAAGGAGGGTGCGCCATCAAAGACTTCTTATATGCGCGACACTCAGAAAGATCGTTTGCCTTGCTGTTGTTCTTGAAGGGTAGTCGTTTCCTTACGGGTTTACTCTCACGACCGCACTTACGATAAGTGGTACACTAATGACGATTTTAGATCGGATCGCACTTGTTTCACTGATCGCTTATGATCATATTGTTAAACGGTTCTTTGTGCCTTCGAATTTAACCGTTATATAGCATTTTCGGCGTTCGACGAACAACCGTAGAAAAGCAACCTCCTTTTCTTATCGATATCCTCCAACCAGCCGTTATGATTATGCGAACGCCCAATGCTACTCTTAGGGCCCAGTTAATTTGAACTTTTATGTGTAAAAATTAGACAGTCATTAACTTTAACAAAATAGAAACAAATTTATTTTCTCATATCTTGCATTAGTGTTGCTTGCAATAGTAGTTCCACTGAGCTTTGCGAACCCAGTCATCGTTCTTTCTCTCCGTTCAGCTATGGGAATCTTATGAAATTAAGAGCTGGTCGTACGAATAACAGCGCTTTACATAGAAGTGTGTGAGAAACATTGTTCTGTTTCAATTAGTAATTTGCTAGTTGACTACAGATTCATTACCTAATAGCTAATGGTACACATTGTGAAATTGTCATATCTTTTAGAAATTAGGCTTTATATTATGAGTTATAAGCATGTGGGAGGATCTACATGGACCTTGACTACATAGAGGTTTCCGGTGCATTCAATAGAGAGCAAGCTAAAAATAGTAATTATAGGTAATACGCTAGCACAGCCGTTGTATCCACTTTTTGTACGGACACAGTAGAATCTAAAAAAACTGAAGATATTGATGATAGCAGTCCATTCTAAATCTACCTTCATGAGCTACAATGATTTATTTAAACCTTGAGGCATTTCGCGTATTTTGCATGCTGTATGTGCAAGTAAAGATAGATGTAGGCTGGCGCCAAAAATGTCGCCGTCTATAGGGGTCATACGTTTTTTCCGTTCTTATGCTTCTATCGTTCAACAGTGCAAGACAACGCGATGTCGTCCATGAAGCTAGAACCCCAAACTGCGACAAGCCAGCAGTCAAACCCATTCCTTGTGCCTGGCCTCATCTCGGAAGCACCCGGTGATACAGCGTTCGAGATGAATTCTTCTCCCGCGCCCGCTCCTTTGACTGCCAATTATTGTCAGCCACCTCCGCCGTTCAACGTGAACAGTATGCAGGGGACTTCAGGAGGATACAATCCTGAGGCACTATACCAGCCAGCTAACCAACATCCGTCCTGGTACACTTCAACTCCTCCGCCCGACCCTCGCTTCGCCAGTGAGTATTCAATAGCATTAATTATATTCGATGATAATAAACTTACACTTTTTTCGTATTAGAAGTGTGCTATTATGTGGCATCCAATGTAATCGACACCTTTACAAGAAGCCCTCGATGTAAAGCGACCTTAGCGGCGATTCTGAAATCGTCAAATTCACTCGCTTCATCTGCCCCTATATAGATAGAACTTACCTCAACTCGTCGCTGTCTGTAGAGTGTTAACGGCATTAGTACTGTCCTGTGGAAAGGTCGTCGTTTCCCATTCATCCATCCTTCCTTCAGGCCATGCGATAGCGGCTCTGTCCGTCGAACGCATCCCTACCACCAGAAATAGTTATTCTTTTTGCTCGATCGATTGATGGTCGGTTGTGTCCTTATCCTCGTCATGACCAAGTCCCGTTTCTGTTCGGGGCCACCTCGCTGTGCACCCGTAGTGCGATGAGGAAGCAACGCCTGCATCTTCTGCAGTTGACAGCAGTCATTCATATAGGCAGCGTTCGATGGAGGAGAGCTACTACGGTCGCAACTATTCAGCCTTGTTTTTCCCCGTTTCCTCTCGGATCCCTCCTGCACTGAGCCACAGCCACCATTGGCCGAGAGGTCTCTGCACGGTCCCGCATCTCAGATTGGTCCTATTGCAGTCAGCGCTGGCTCTCCTAATAGTGGATGATACCATTCTCTCCGCAGCCTCTCTCGCCCACGACTCTTCTCCTCATCTTGGTTCGTCTGCTGTACACAATAGCAATTGTGGCTCGGTCCACCTTTGACTCGAAACGCGTTCTGCCTCGCGTGTCCGAGATCGCACTGGATCGTATTTCCAGCATACTTCCACCTTCATATCCGCCATCACCTCTGCCACAACCCTCATGGCAACCTAGTTCATTCAATACGGATTGGCTTCATCTAAGTCAGTATAAGCACTTGGTCTCCGATTTCCCATGCCACAAGTAGCGACGGTCACAAGTCACTACAGCAAGATCAGATGGGGTATAGGTGATGCAATATCTGAGATGCGAACTCCCTTCCCTCACTTTGTCGTTTCATTCTCAATGGCACGATTGAAAGACGGTTGGCACGGTACTATAAACGTAACAATAATCACACTATTATGCGCCTGTAGCCATATTACATCCATCTCGTTTTGAGCAATATTGTGACTTAGAAAGACCAACGGACGAGACCGAAAGGTGGCACGGGTACAGTACGCTGTGTTGGCATTTGGTCCTAAAGAGCCTTCCTGTCTTATGTGTCTCGGTTCGTTCCATCTACAGCTATGTATCATATATCCTAGAAGAGAAAAGAGGATCGCGGTTGAATCCGCTTTTCTCTAACTAGGACACTTATTGGGCCTGTGTAGGATGACACAGGTTAAACCCACTCGCCTTCCCTTCGGATCGTTTACACCAAACGCCTTCACTGAAATGAATCGAATTATACACAAATTGATTGCATTGTAGAATGTCGGTCAGCCACACCTATTGAATTCGACGATATGTTGCTGGTGCTGTGAATAGGCCATCTCGGGTAACACAGATGTATCTATGTAGATATTTGCGTGACAGTGTACCTACATATGATGACACATGACCGACCGGTTATGAAGCTATCGAGAGTTGTTGGGTTCAACTTTATTGCCGAAGTACTTGATAGTGAAGTATCATATGCGGGCGACGTCGTTATGAGCATGGCTGTGAACACCTAAAATGACGAACCGGCCGTCCGCCTGCCTTCGTTCTCTAGCGGAAGAGCAGCCAGTTGGCTTGGGTTTGGCAAATGATAACAACGCCCTCAAGATGAAATTTTTCATAGCCATTTCCGCAACAGCGCGCTTCGTTTTATCTGTTCGTACTGTTTGTTATAATACGATGCAGTTCGACTCCTGCTCTCTCCTTCATCGTAAACCCGACGACCTTTCATTTCTAACATCTATCCGCGCACCTGTGCCCACAAGAGAAGCGCCGAAGTTCGTTCGGCCAGAGTCTCTTCGGCCGTCGTAAGCTAACCTCTCTCGCTTTACTTTTCCATTCTTGAATTCCGCTCTGTCGTTTCGTCGTCGTCGTCGGCCTCTATTTCGTTCGGTATCTTGGCTTCTGTTTACTTCTTGCGCTCGCCCCCTTCTAGCACACTTCCCGAACCAGTGACCAAATATCTCTCTCACGAACTTTTCTCACGGGATGCAACGGCAATCATCGTGGAGACATCGTCAAATACGAGATTTGATCCGCGGGCGCTGGCCGAGTATTGCTCGTTCCACCAGCACAAATTCTGCTGTGATCTGTACGGTGGGGTTTGGATATTCCTAGATTCGTTTTTGTTGGATGTCTTCGCAAACCTTCTTCGCACCCCTATATGTCTAGTCTATATGTACAGACACACACGCGTACAAACATGCGTACACTCACACACACACACACACACACACATACATATATTTATAAACCCGTAAGACGCGTACATATTTGAATCTGTCCGTCAAAGTGACGTCTAGCTGTCGTTTGCTTTCTTAGCGTTTGATTGCCGATCGCTTGCTTACTTAACTGTACGCTTTCGTAGTTATACCACGACGAACGATGATGTCTTTATGACATCAACTATAGAAGATCACGTTGATAAGATCAGCTGTATTTGCACATTGATGAGCAATGCATGCAACGTATGGTGGACTCGCACAGAAATAAGGACAACGCGCGTACTCATACCCACGAAGTGTCGTCTCACAGAGATCCTGACAAATGGGTAGTTTAAGGAGCGAAATGTCTCTAGGACGCTTATAGAGCCTGTCGATTTTGGTTGCTAATATACATTCCTCATTTTTAGCTTTGGCAGATCTGATAAAAATGGCTATGCTCACGCTGTACGTTAGATGTTATGCCAGGTACAATGTGTATTTTAATAGACTTCGAAATAACTGTATGTCAGTAAAGATCACTCAAAAAATCACTATCCGTTTCCTATATTGTCATCCTAGCAGTGTCGAAAGGGCGCCATCAGTAGGCGTACGCCTAATTTTCTCTAGAAAATATAATGTCTCCATATAGAGTGTCATTTTCTCCCACATAAGTTTGTTGTATTCTGCCACGGGAGACTACACTGCCATCGAAACGCTTGCAGGATGATTGTTATCACCTTGATGATTGATCCTCCTTTCGTTATAGAATCAATTGATTGTAATTGTATCTTCTAAACAAAGGAAAAAGCTACTGCGTAGTACCGGCTGTTGACCGGTCTCCTTTTCATCCGCTATTTGTCGCAGTCAGCCAAAGTGAACGGATGAGAGTCTAACGAACTAATATAATCTTTTTTGATGGTTTCCTAGATAAATGTACATATCGATATAGTAGAGAACGCGAAACTTTTTTTTCCATTCATTTTTTCATACATCCAGGTCATTTACCCCTGCCTGCTTAGATCTATCTTATAAACACGATCAACAAATATCGATAACATACAATCGTTCCACGAAAAACTTTTCCCAGAGCATAAGGTCCGAACGTAGCTTCAGATCTACTACGCTAATTCCTAAACGTCAATATCAATACTTCAAATAAACGTCAATTCAAATACTTCGTTACTGAATTTCTCTCACATGTGCTATACTATACTCGGCAAGAATTAAATAAAACAAGGGAAACATGGCCAAGCAATTTGTCCATAGCATGAATACCGCGTCGCTGAGAATCGTCGAAAACTCTATTTGTTTACGGTTCAATTGGTTATACCAATGAGAAGCATACATTGCGCCCCCCAGCCTGACCAATCGTCAAAACATTTCCCAGTCCGTCTGCAGATTAGAATAACCAGTCAATAAACTCGAACACTAAAAGGACCTATCGTAATAAGGGCTTAGCAATTCATCGACTAGGGGAGGTTTGGATCCGCCTAGGGCAATCGATGCGGGTGTACCATTTTCTGAAAGGCTATCGCAATCATCTTGCTTGTGTGTTTTTCTCGGACATTCTCATCGATTTCGTTCCGTCGTTCGCCGAACGAGTTCGTAGCCTTTTCGTGAGGGGCGTCTAGCTAGCTTACGCTTATTTATGGCCAGCTCATGTTCATCAAGCATCCTTGAAGTGACGGTCTCATCATTTCATCATTTTACATATCGCGTTGACAGTAACAGCAGCTGGACAATAGCGGCAGGTCGTAGCAAATTTCAGCGACCGCGGTCCGGCTAAACAATAGAACGCGGCAGAGCAAGACAGAAAGATTAAGGTCTAAGTCCTTAGACCGCGGCGTTGCCTCCGCGTTCCTAATCAGCAAGAATAATAGACGAAGACGAAGACGGGTGTATATTTGACACGGCTCCTGTCACTTTACCACAACGCCGTCGGTGTAGGCCCACTTTGTAGAGCCAGTATGACAACAGAAAGTAGATTATTTTTCTATAAATTGAACAGCGTCCACAAACTGAAACTATACTAATATTTAAGGCAAATAATTTATGACGGCTTCCGTTCAAGCGGGTGGTAAAGTAGCATGACATTAAGTCTTAATATTTGGTGCGAGAGGCATCAACTGGGTAATATTCGAGCAAGTACTATGGTCTAATCAACCATATCTGGTCGACTCTATTTCCAGTTCAATAGAGAACTATAATGAGAACTATGTGTCTGGTCTGTTCTGCTCTTTTGTTGAACTGCAGTTTCGCGGCTTATGAGTTCTTCGTCGGGGCCATCTTCCGGAGCCCCTCTTCAGTTCCCTCTTACTCAGCAACGACGCAAGCGACGTATCCTGTTTACGCAGGCACAGGTGTACGAGCTGGAACGGCGCTTCAAGCAACAGAAGTACTTATCGGCCCCTGAACGGGAGCACCTTGCCAGCCTCATTCATTTGACGCCGACACAAGTGAAGATCTGGTTCCAGAATCATCGCTACAAGTGCAAACGGCAAGCTAAAGAAAAGGCCATGTCCGAATCACACCACTCGCCTCGGAAAGTGGCTGTCCCTGTGCTTGTCAAAGATGGAAAGCCCTGTTCACCTGATATGATGCATGATTCGTCCTCGCCAGATAACATTCATCAACAAAGTGAGTACCGCTGACAAACTGTCGCTTGAAAAACGCAAATAACTTAGCAACTAATGTCATGGTTATAATTACAGTTATACGACGCGAAATTAAGTCATCCAACAAATGACTGTGTTCGACGCTGGACACACACACAGACGAGCATCTACATATAGTATTAAAATACGGATTATGGTAATGGCATCAGGGCTAAAAATTAAAGTACAATCAGCTCTCATTTGGGCTTTTCTATCATAACAGGTGTTGTTGTGAATGAAAGTACTCTATATTCGTCTGCAACGCTTGGGCCTAAGATCTATGACCGATGACTTCGTATCTGTGAGGACAAATATACTACTGTTGCATCTTCATCTGAAATATAGCTGAGTGTTTATATTTTCTTCTCATGCGTATACCGGCCACCGGTTCAGTGGGTTGAAATTTACGTTTGGCAGTCTCCTTCAGTTTGTGTCGACTTACGATTTGAATCGATCCGCAATGTTTACCAAGCTTGTCCCATTGCGATCGGGATTGAATCGGGCGAATGAAACGAAGCGAACCAAGTGTGTCATGGAGGCCTAGACGTTGTTGCTAAGGTAGAAGTAGATCTGGCGAAGGAAAGCTGCTAGCTTGTATCAATGGTGCCGTTTCAGTAGCGGACATTTAAGCCGCTTTTCGTCGGCGCTTAGATGTCAACGGCCGCTTTTCCTTGATGTTCGGCGAAAGCTCTGGCCGCTTCCGCTGAAGTCACTCTTCCCCATCTCTTGTCTATCGTTTCTTTCATAATGCGACGGCAAAGCTCTGTATAAGTGCGCGATGATTGCTTCTGCTTGTCCTACTGCCTTGGCACCTACTGTCAGCGCGCTTGTCAAAATACCGATATAAGACAGTAAATCATAGGGAGGCAAGGGAATCGAAGACGCAGCTCGGAAACGGGAAAGTCGGACCCACATTCGACTAACTACTACTACTACCACTGCGTCCGCAGAAGCAACAACATCAGATAGAAGCTAGAGCAGCACAACGCGCAGATTGTACATCTCTGTTTGAGTGGTTCAGGCAGAGCAAAGCAGAGAGGCAAGCAGTCATGTGCAAGGATGTGTGGTATTACTATGATGTGTGCGGTGGTCGGTGTGCCTTGCAGCTTGAGGCCTCTTACGACCGAACGCGACGGTGTTCCCAAAGATCGTAGACGTCTGCCCTTGTGTTACCGCAAATGGACTTCGTTGAAGAACAACACTGCTATCATTATCATCTCCGCTATCATCATCAGCAGCAACGTTTTGAATCTCTGATTTGGTGAAGAAAGAACATCATCGTCGGCGTCATGTTGCCAAATAAGTTTCCTCGGACCAACCCCGTCTCGCGTTTTACATCTCGCGCCCAATCACAGCAGAGCGGTACACTTGAGCGTACCGCACCACAATGACAATGGTGGCCTTCCAGTAGACGATTATTGACCGCACGTCATCGTATATTCGCTTGTCCATCCGTGTTGTTCGACAAGCAAATTAATCTTTGGACCACTTCGTTCGTTTTCTGGCTATCTTGTAACCGTTCGCGTTGGTTTTCGGCTTCGCGGTTCATGACCGCGTGATTGTTACCGTTCACGTTCGAAGTAGTAGCCGATTCTCGTAGAGCAAAGTTGCGATCCGTGCGGAAGGCGGCGCCACCGTTTTCACGAACATCCGTTCGTCCGTCCCATCGCGGAGGCTGTGTCTATGTGGCCCCGATCGGTAGCTGCGGCTGCATAGCTCGCCTCACTTTACAATAACACTTCATAGCCAACATTGTCTTCGAGTTATTTAAAAGGCAGCAAAAAAGCACAGATCAAGCTTGGTAAAGCTACAGTCTGACAAAGAGCTGAACAAACATCTTAGCATCGATGACCCTGCTGCTTTCTTCTCTACGATGAACTGGAATGATGGTGACGGTGACGCTGATAACGATGCAGCTCGCAGCATTCTGCCTATTGTAGTAATGGCGGTGCACGTGAACAAGTGGCCGAATGAAGATATCGATGTAGACGGGGCCGACGGGAAGAAGCAACCGAAAACATAGTTTTGTTGCACAATTATTTATTTTCGTCTCATTCACTCTCTACAGCGTGATACTATTCTAATGGGTAATAACAAGATTCTTGCGAATAAAGTAACACAGTGAAGTAACGTCTGCGCCAACACGAAAATTGTCATCGATCTGAATCGCATGATGCCGATCATAGCAGTGATGGAACAATGGTGAAGCAACGGATCGATTTCGAACTCGCCATTGTCCGGTGCTTCCCTGCTTCAGTCCCTGTTTGTTTCTCGGTATTGACCGGGCCTGCGGTGGTCCCCTCACACTAGTAGCACCATAAGCTATGATGGTGGTGTTTCGCACGATGTATCGCCGAGCTCAAACAGCGGAAAAGGTCGACCGATGCAACGAATGGGGGGGATACGGCAGTAGGAGGCACTTGAGTTTTTGATGCGATATTGCCACTCGACGACGGACGGAATTGCTGGCGACGAGAGGGGCTGGGTACCCTGCCCTGGTCCAGCTGCTGGGAAGAATTGACGACCCAGTACCAGCACGAAGGGCTGTTGTGGATATGATGGAAAGACGAAGTTAAGAAGTGGGAACCAACGGCTACCAGCAACTTTCGAAAAGTGTATATCCCAGACGTGCGCACCTACAAACACACAAATAGATACACAGAAAAGAGGTAAGATCTTCTACTGTTGCTGTTGTAAAAAGTAGCATACATAAGCTAAAAAGGAAAAATATTTTTTCTCCACTGAAGAGGAAACTAGGCTCTATTAGGGCGTCGGTTTCCGCATTTCTCCTCATCCGCATCACAGCCTCGACTAACTTCCATTTGCGTATACCTCGACCAAATATACACCGCCAGCTGATGTTACCTCGGCAGGTCGGTTTTCGGCTTCCTTCTTCTTGCCTTGAACGTCCTGCTGCTTCAAAAACCGCCAATACTGGTGAGGAACCGTACATTGGCTTCGACCGGTCGAGCTGCATCCATAGCCATCAACGCCTGAACCATCATCATTTTCATCATCAACCACCATGACCTCCAAGCATCTGGGCGTCTGTCACTCCTGCAGGGGCCAACTTCCGGACGTGTCACAAGCACTACTCTCCCACTCAAGTAGCATTTCTTAGCCTTCTTCATCTTCATCGTCTAACGTCTCTTCTATTCTCAGAGACGTTCTTCTTTGCGAGGCCCCAACGAGTCGTATGGCGCTCGCGTTTGCTCGACTGTGTGAGACGATAGCTTTGCTTGCTTAATGGTGTTCTTTATCTTACCATCTTTTCTTTGCTAGACATTGGTAGACTCCAGTGGCGAATGGGGTGAGGCGTCAGAAAGGATCCTAAGAGGTGGGTGCGGTATCCGACTAACGTTCGGCAGCAGCCGTATTGTTCAAGCAAGCCAATTACTTTAGCATCTTCGCTAGGCCTCGTATCCCATGCTAAAGCACACTACACCATATACAGTCCTTCTTCCGAAACCAAACAAGAAAGCTATTTTGTCCGCTTCGGTGGTCTGCTTGCTGGTGCTGCACAGGTCTGTTAGCGTTGTCATACCCCCATCTTCTCTTTGTGGGTCCCACATCTCTTTCCACGCCCCAAAAACATCATTCGTCCCCAACGTGATGCCGATGTGCTCAAATGCCGCTTATTCGACTCAAGCAGAATACTATTCTAATATGTCCTAACTTATTGGTCGGGTTCTTCTAGCATCGAGAAACAGAGCAAACGGGTGAATTTAGGTTAGGGTGATCTGCAGGCAGTAAGGCAGGCACCGAGCCCAATTGAGTGCTACGACAACCAGGAGTACCCTCTGCTTGCCCGTTTAGTTATGCCTTTGCACACTCCATCCTCGCATTTGCCCTGCGTCCTGTGCTCAAACAAGTCCCAGTCATTCATTGAATGCTATTGCTGTTTGTTCCTGACCTCCTTAGTCTCGGTTCCCTTTTGATGGTCACTGCTTTACGAATTGTGCTTAGTCATTACAACTGATCACCGCTTTGTGTGTGTCTCTTCTATTCCCTTGCGTATTTTTATCAATAACATAAATCTCTAATGCACGAATTGCTGCGTCATCGATAGTAGTGCTGAAATAGGTAGATTCAAACCCGAAATCTTTTTTTATAAATCCTTGTAAGTATCAGCTTGAAAGACCATGGAGCAGACCATGGTCCAGCGGGGCCATTTTTAAAAACCCTGTATAGGTAGTGCGCTTATAACCGAGCGCTAAGATATAGGACAAAGCAGGATTGATCCTAATATGGGCTTTGTTGTTTTCAGCTTACATTCAGCTTTCTCGTAAAGCCAACAAATCTAATATAGGTTCATTTTTCTGTCTTTCCAGTGATGTCGTGCTATCCCCACGATCCACAAACGCAAGCTCAACTTCATTCGCAGCTGTTGCAACATCAGCAAACACATCCTTACCCACATCCGCAGGCGCAGGACACAGGCCACGGACACTTACCCCCAAATCATCCTTATTTACACCTTCAAAGCAGGTGGTAGAATTCTGTCATTAGCCCTGTGTTAAGATAAGCTACAGCTGAACACATGACAAATCTGCGTAAATCTCTAGCGATAAGATAAGATCTACAGCACAAAAAAAAGTACTACAGCTTAATCTTAGCCAAAAGGCTGAGAACAGAACAAACAACGTACCACGATTGACACTACCAATGGACAACATCATGTCGATCACCCGGTAGGACATAGATTAGTAATCCTGTCCTGGCCAATATTAGTTTAATTACGATTAAAGGTTGTTTTGTTGTGGGGATCCTCACGACCGTATGTCAGTATCGTTTTCATTCGAAGCTCAGTGGCACTTTTGCCGTAACATTAATATAATTTTAGCCTTTATTATCTATGAGGAGTGCATTGAGGCTCAATGATGAGTAGAAGAAGAGGAGGAGGAGGAGGAGGAGGAGGAGGACTGAGTTAGTGCACAAGCGCGACGTTGAGTGTATGAGCTTCTGTAAAAAAAAAATAGCCATTATCGACGAATACCGGACAAACTCAAGAGAGTGGATATTGAACTACCACGTCGTTTCTATATCCACTATTTAGTAGGAATGTATATCGTCGAAGACCTAACGTAAGTACACACGCTGACAAATGAATATAATCTAGCTGCACGTATCGGAATAAATAGATAAGCTGGATATGCCGCTATCCTAGGTGTTTTCCTGGCGGGGATGAGCAAATCGATCGAAAGGACGACGCGACCATTACTCGATCCTGTTTCTGTCCCACTGTCAGAACTCCAGCAGCAGTATCGACAACAATAGCGAACTATGTCATTAAAATATACACATATTAACGCATCGAGTGTAGGCTCAGTAGTGACTATCTTCAGAGCAACAACGACAACAAAATAGAGTTTAAAGGACAAACGGGTCAGGAGATTCTGTCGCAAAGATAAACAACTTACTTCTCCTAAAAAACGCCCTAAAGCTTATCGCAAAATTTCGAAGTTTTGCGGGAAAGGATATAACTTAAAAATGTTAGAAAGGATAAAATTTAAAAAAAATAAGGGAACACAGACGCCATGTGGCACGTGAGGGTGTGGTCCGATCTCCTGTACATAGCTATTCACACGCCAACTGATGGGTGCGTGTCCGTGCTGTAAATAATGTAAATATTACACGATATAGATACCAGTGCGCCGCATAAAAGTAGCCTAGAATTTAGAAGGACACAGTTAGTGATGTGGCCGTTTATTGACAATTGCCTAAATCGAAAAGCAACACTTAGCACATCCCGATGTTATTCAACTTGTAGAAATATGCTGGCTACCGATAGACCGAGAAAAAAAACGGCCATTACCAGCTAGCCAAATAGCTGGCCTACATGACCGATGCATACATAGCTTAGTGATTTAACAAAAATAGTAATGAGTAAAAAAAGTGAACGAAGGAGCAAGTTGTTCGACCGCTGTCGTCGAAACGCAAAAGTACCGTCAGCTGACAGATCTGAACTAGTAGCAAAAAGTGCTAAGTATTCGACAAAACACTTGTTCCCTAGTTGATTCTAAGGAAGGAGCAGGCACTTGGTAAATAATTCCTTTATTTTAACTTTATAAAGCAATTTTTATGAATTAGATGATTACGTCCGTACGCGCCAACAATGACAATGCCAACAACACAAACAGCAGCAGCGACAACAACAAATATAATCAACGGCATACTACTAACACCAAAAAAATAGCTCACTAATGCTACCATAAACGACATCGTAATTACAGTGATTACCAATTATAATCAAACAAAGACTCGTTAAACCCTGTGAACCCTATACACGAAATGGCAATTCGAGGTGCCCACTGGAACAGAATAATGCGGAATGCCGTAGATGATAATGATGATAAAAAAAGTTGTCATAAACTATAGAAATAGATAGACTGAGCTTTGGACAGCTAGCTAAAAACCCTATAATCGAACACCAGTAACTGAAAAAATCGAAAGTAACAATAAATGCGAATCATCAATGTTTATAATAACAAAGAGTCAAGCGTTTTTTTTTTTTTTTTTTATTTGGACAACGGCTAGAGATACGTTTAAATCGGTCTTCGCTTCGTAGTAACGAAATACAAGTTCGGGAAGTTATTGATGGTTATTGTATGCTCTTCAGTACCAACCCAAGAGGATGTTAGTTTACGTGACTTTTTAAGGCGTTCATTGTCTACGACTCTTCTAAGTCAGTATCGATATGGCTTTAACGAAGGCGAGCAGGTCTCAGCAGGGCAGCGATTATTTCAGAACGTCACTCACCTTTTCGGCCGCGGTTGTGATACCGTTAACAGGGACTTTTTTTGTCCCTTTTGCAAATGCTATTAGACACTGCGATAATTCACAGGTATGGTAGGGGAATCCCTCAACTTTGCGGCCTGCTATGAAGCGGCTGTATCGATGGACGCATGCGCCTCTTAACAGCTAGGACTAGCTTAGCCTCGTATGTCATCATCAACAGACCAGCAAATCTGGCTAGTTCTATTCTTATTCAATTTCGTTTCGTTCGACAACATTTCAAAAGTACCTCGAATCATCCGAGGACAGCGTGCACAACAGAGCGCCTAGCCAGGCCAACTAGGCCTCGTACTAGTTCCATTCGCAGTGTGAGATATATATATATATATATATGTACATATAAGCCCCTGAGGGAAACCCGTAGCTCAATGGTACCGAGGTTAACAAACCACTAGATATGAGCGGTTGCTATAGCAGGCAGCAGCCGGCGCAGCGACATGAGTTTGGGTATCGTCATGAAGGAAACTTCTTATTGATTTCGGTCCGCTAGAGGCACACTTTCATGCATATCGCTTCCTTTTTCAGAAAGGAACGTAAAAATGGTTCTGATCTGTACGAGACGGTGTCAGTCAAACTGAGCCTCGTTTACTATTAAAAACAGCAATGTCATTTAGTTATGCGGTTAGTGTGGGGGGGAAGTTATGGTTAATATATCACATACATAGGTAAATTGCTATTCGGCACCTCTTCGCAAAGGTTCAGACAAATCAACGTTCGAATTGAACAAAGGTTCAAAGTTACAAATTTTTAAATTTTGTAAAGTTTTTTTAGTAAGTTTCACGTCCGAATCTGATTTGGCCTTGTAGTTGAAATGATGCAGAATCGGCCCGATATAAGGAACAGCGTTTATTAGTTAATGAATGGTAATAGCACAAAAGGGAGTATGAAGACATCGCCTTCAAATCTCCCTAGTGCTAAATCGACACCAGCTCTTTGTGATTCGATCTCTGCTGCTTGTGTGGTGCTCAGAAGGAGTCTAACCTCAATTGCTACCAATATGCGAGATTCATCTCACTTGTATTCGCACGGCTCGCTTGAATCTCGGCATGTCTCGGATGTTTCGGTACGGGAGCCCTGCGGCGCAGCCAGCTAGCGCAACGAGTCCTCAAATTTCGGGTCCCTCCCGGTGGGAATGTTGACGCGCAAATGGACGATGGGAATGAAAAACGTCAAAAGAGGTTTACCTTGTAGACTGTATAACACGATTAAATTCGAAAAGTGATGGAAGAGAACGAGTGTAACATATATAAAAATAGTCGAACGACAATTTAATGATGGTTTAGTGCAGAATGACGCACTTTTATGTTGGGTGGCGAACACGAGCGATGTCTTCGTTGAAAAGTAAGCGACGCATCGATATGTGACAGGATGATATGGCAACTGCGGAAGTAGTTAGTGATTGGTATGAAAACACTGCTGCAAAGAGTACCGATTTAATTTGGGATCGATTTTAGACCTAAGAGGCATCATCTCATGTCGGTGCCTATACGTTATGTTGATATAATGATGAAGACACGACTGCGCAACATGGAACAAATAACATCTACGCACCTCTCTATAGGTCACTGTCCTGGCTACCAACTTTGCAATTCGAAAATGATGATTAAACCATTTTTTTATATTTTGTCAGTGCATGGAAACTTATTCGGGAAGTCAACTAACTCACGTCCGAGTTTAAGTTATACAATTGTAAGCGGTCAGGAGATATATATAAATATAGGAATACTGGGCTACGATATTTTACCGGCGTCAAGGACCAAGAGAACAATGAAGTAAACTGGACGCCGAGTGTCACGATCAAAATGTCGTTCATTAAGTGTTCAATATATTTTATATGTATTGTTTGTTATTTTCAATTTTTATGCCAGTTTTTTCGCTGTTAGTGAATCTGTCCATACTAAAACCCAGTTTTTTCCTTGTAAATTCCCTGCAAAATATTCCATTACACGCCTTGCGCTATTACCTTCTAGCTAACTTCTATTGTTATTATTTTAAAACCTTATAAAATATAATTTCAAAACCCTATAAAAAAATAATTATATATATACATATGTAATGTAAAAAATAAGCCCTGCGGTGCATCCAGCTAGCGCAACGAGTCCCCAAATTTCGGGTCGCTCCCGGTGGGAATGTTGACGCGCAAATGGACGATGGGAATGAAAAACGTCATTATGTCGAAACGAACAAACGAAAAATGTCTATATATAGATAACGATTGAACGCCGAATTGGTTTCAAAATGTCCAATACCTGTTTTTCAGTCAACTGCTGCTTAGCTAGCACAGAGCATAGCGCTAGAAGGATTCTTCCCAATTTTACGTGCGTAATATCAACATTGAGCATTGCGTTCGTAGTAGCTGCTTACAAAAATATGGATTTGTGTAAAAAACATCTGAGTGTTCCATTCACAGAAAACTGATTATCTCAACACTCAAACACAAAAGATTATCTATCTTTTATTCTTCTAAGAATGTATATGCGTTCGGCGTTTCTGCAACGCATTGCCGAGTGATACTAATTATTGTTAAGGGGTGTCATGTATTTTCAGGTAAAAAAAAATTACATATAGGGTAATCAGATAAAAACTGTGCAGTATCTTCTCCAACGTATGAGCTAAAGCCTTACATACAGCTTTGAATCTTAAACTTATTTCACACATTCTTTAGTTGGCCATTGCTTCAGCGCGTGCACCCCAATAACTTTCTTTGAAAGAGACCTGAGGGCCACAGAAGCATACGATAGAGATAACAGAAGTAAAAGCGAACATAAATTTTTTATTTACTACCCCTAAACCAGTTGCACAGCAACGCGATGACTCTATATATAAGGTAAATTCTTATAAGTAAATATAAGGTAAAGATGCACATGGAAATGTATCTACCTTAAGTGGAAGCTTAGCAAGGGGTTTCAAATCTTCAAATGGCAAAAATCTTTAAAGTGTGGGTAAATATTAGAATATATATACGTTAATTACGCAACTTCAGTTAATTTAATATTAGACGCACACAACTTACCTATAGGGTAGAAATAAATTAATTTCCCGAACCCTTACCAGCAC